AACATTTTTCTTCGTATTTGCTTTGTTTATATTCTACTTTCTAGTGCACTATAGTAGGTATCTATTGTAGTTTAACGTTTATTTAGTATATATGTAATAAATGTTACAACGAAGTATGAGTACTATTTTGTACCCGCGGTAGTGATAGTTACCATAAGGTACACCACTTGTTTTATATTAATAGACCAAAACATATTAGACCTATGTAACCAAAACAATATTAAATATAGTCATTTTATCACTTAAACCATCGATATTTTGTAAATCTTAATATTAAAGGAACAAAATTAACAATATTTAACGTATGTTTAAAAAAACAACACAATTAACGCTCCTATTAGTTGCAGCGTGTTTTAGCCTTTAGTTTAGACGCATTTGTTGACAAATGCTCTAACCGACACTAAAATATTTTTTAATTCAAATCAGTAGTTCGTGAGAATAACGCGTTCAAACAAACGAACTTTTTAACATTTGTACAGTTACATAATTATGTATTCACAGATAATAGTGTAAATAACTTAATGTTAAAAACATATTGTATCCTAATATAAAATAAAATGTATTTCGTAAGAATAATTATTGTTCAAAATGTGTTATAAAAAACCCCAATAATGGGCTACCTCTGTTTGTTTGTTGTAATTTTACTATGCATCGCAAAAAGTTATTTAGATTAACCAAGAATTGTATCATAAGAATTATTTACTTATATTAAGTACTTCTGCATATTGTATTTAAAAATTACGGATAACTACATCTTAAGTACTCTCAATATTTACTACCAAAACGTTCGATGATTGCGCAAAATCACATTCTTTCCTTTCCAGGGTAGTACAGTGAATATGATATTATTTATCTAACCGAGACTTGCCTAACTCCTGATTTCAGTGATTATCAATACTTTAATGGTAGGTATAATGTATACAGGTAGGACAGGGGCGCGGGTGGGGAGCGCGGCGGAGACTTACTAAGGTAAATTGTTAGGTAAAACTCTGGAGAAAATTGTAACCAAACAGCTGTCAATAGTCTTTCGTAATCATATTTCTCCCAGTCAGCATGGTTTCTTTCCTGGACGTAGTGTTAATTCTAATCTAGTTACATATACCGATCATTTGCTGTTGGCTCTTCAATCTGGCTACCAAGTAGATTCAATTTATGCTGACTTCTCGAAAGCTTTTGACGAGCTCAATCATTTAATACTTATTAAAGAACACTCACTGTCTGGCATTCACGGAGATCTACTGAGATGGCTCATATCTTTTATTTCTAATCCTAGTCAAGTAGTAGCATTAAATATTGTTCTACATTTCTAGAAATACCTTCAGGAATTCTCAAGATTCGCATCTTGGGCCCTTACGGTTTTCGTTTTATGTCAATGATATCGGATCCTGTTTTGAAAGCACGTGCCACCTTCTGTACGCTGATGAAACAAAAATTTACAATATAGTGAAATCCGCCACCGACAGCTTTGAGCTTCAAAAGGATGTATACAAGTTTGAAGAGTACTGTAGATGTAATCAATTAGTTCTAAACCACGACAAAATTCGTATAATGATGCGGTGGACTCCTGGACGCGAGATGAAGCCGCTGGCGCCTACATCTACTGAACCACGAACGCGGATTTTGCGTCCCTACTCGCTGGTCGCCTTGCTGGGCCTCCCTCGGGATCACCGGGGGTCTCACCCGGCGGTGCTTGACCGCGAGACGCGGGGGCGTTCAATCCCTTCTATTATGGCACCAGAGACCGCCTTGTAGTCACAAGGCGCGATTGAGTTCCCCTTGCGGGAGCCCCAACCGCGCCCACCCGGGTGCGGAGGGAAAACCACGACGACAACTCAAAATTCTTCGATCCATCGAGTAGTCAACATCTCCTGATGATGCCGTCCACACGTGATGGCGAAACGTCGAGAACCTCTCGCTCTCGCTGACATCGGCCGGACAGCCCGAAAGACAATGATATACTCTAGTCATACTAATTATGCCGAACAGATTTTTTTCGCGGTCCTGCGAACTTTTTCACAATAATTTTTGTTATGTTGATATTTGTTGGAATATATTACACAATTTAAAAATCGAAAATAAATTGAAGAAATTTTTCGACTCGGGCAGAGAACCAGCAGTCAGTGGCAGAGCAACAGCACAAGAAATTTATTTTCGATTTTTAAATTATATAGTACCTTCATGTGCAAATAACATGTAAAACATAATAAAGTTTTCAAATATATTACACAAATTCAAGACAGCCATATTAAGCAAATTGTAAGTCAGCAAATTTCTTTTCCTGACTTCAATCTAAATTAATTTCTTTTTAAATTTTAAGTATTATTGTTTAATTAGGTGTTATGTAAGGCCGTTTGATTGTAAGTTAAATTAAAAAAAAACTTAATAACCTGCAAACAAGATGTATCGGCTTAATATTTTCTATACTAGGTTTCTGATTGCTGAATAGCGTTCTCCGCTATTATAATGAATTGCAGATTCGTTGCTGTTTTCTACTTTTAAAATTCAACGTTAAATGTATTTATTCACACAATTAATCTTTATAATGAACTGATGACGAATACTATACTACTTAAGTATTATTAAAAAATTAAATATGACGCCGTCGTCGCGTTAGTCGTGGGTTTGAGTCCCGCTTGCAATATGAACCATTTGAATGATTTTTTAAATTATACTCTATATAATTATATCTCACGTCTCCTTCAAGCTAATACATCTTATTATATATAGGTATTTTATATCTATAAAGTATATTATTTAATTAATTGCATCTGACATTTTTTTAATACTTATTTCCTTAGAGGACTATAGACGCCAATGCATCATAGTAGCCACCTTCTCATGAAAATAGAAAAATGAACTGAAATTTGTTAAGAAGTCAGGCGCGAGAGGTGCTAATATAAGTAAGTTGAACAAATCGACGTTGACGTATAGGACACGGTAGCACGGTAGCGGGCAGGACTTAAGGCTTGAGCACACCAAAGGGAGTTGCAGTGCGTCTACGTTAGTAAATAATGTACTTATATGGATTATGACACCTCAGCAAATGCGGCCCTTGACAAAATCACTTCCACGGGAGCAGCGCGAGCGAGGGGCACGTTAAACCGGCATTCACAGCGTGTCGTGTTGTTGCTCTAACTAATTGATCTCCCGTATTCTAACGTGATCGTCGAACTTTTACAACCATTTGATAAATGCACCTCTCGCGTATTGTAATTTCAACCTTAACACTTGCTCATTAAGAAAATCATATAAGTAATCAAACTTCATATTTTATAAAAAAACTAAGTGTTCAAACGTTAAACTCTGTAATTAAATCATGAAAGTAATAAAGTAAGTTGTTGGAACATTAAAACAAACAAACCAGTTTATATTTTAGCGACAAAATCTGATCGAACGATTTAGCCGAATATTCGGTCGGGGGGGCTCATCCAATATTCGGTAGTCGGTATACTGCCGAATATGGTAGTCGGTAACAACAGTGTTTAAATTTTAATTAGAAAAAAACCATTTCACTTTATCGGGGGGGGGGCCCCCCTTTTTTTGGGGGGGGTTTTTCCCCCGGGGGAGCTCCCCCTGGGCTGGGCGGGGGGATTATGGAAACTAAGTTATTACCTGACGTCATAATATATGATACATACATGCATATGATATGATGATGAGTCACATGTTGCAACCAAATCAGTGTTTACAATTCTGTTGTGGAGATATTAAATGTATTAGTATGGGGGGGCGGGGGTAAAAAAATCCAATAAGTTTAACTAAAATCGCGTTTTAAACCGTAGTTTTTAAAATAAATAAATTAGTATCATGTCAAAATTATTCTAACAGTACGTAAAATAATTTAGCAAAGATTAGGTACAAAATTGTAAGAAAACAATAAACAAAAAATATTTGTTCAATTATATTTATATTGAAAATTGTGTATTTATATATATAGTATATACATATACTTATCTTCATTTCTAAACCACATTGTTTATAGTAATTTAATAGATATTAGATGCTCTTTTCTATATTTACCTACTCATAATAGTGAAAAAAAGGGTACTATGCAAAAGGTTATAATTATTATAACAACTGTATGTAGATTGCATATTCAATTTTACTTCTTTGTTATATGATACGTCTTGCTAAGTGAACCGAGAAATTATTGCTAAATTACATCGTGGTTTTTTAAAACGTGGAATGATCTGCTGGTTAATTTATGCTGCATTCAGTTAAAAGAACAAAAAATATTCTACAAAAAGATGACCTCGATTTTAAGATTTTTTTTCCAGAATAACAGATGGACGCTGGTTTCATCTAGTGTACGCACAATAAATAATATAACAAATAAATGTAACTCAGGGTGAACGTAGATTAATGTGGTGAAACGTTTTTTTTTAATCGGTGCTGAAGTTTTTACAACATAATTAACCCACTGACTCCTTCTTGTCTTCGCTAACACACACTCCACAGAGTACATCATTTCTCCGGTGATACAATATACGTTAGAAAATTTAAATGTCCCGCGAATCCCGTCATCCATAATGCATGCCGTAATTTGAAATTTTGGCGGTAAATCTGTGTAAAATGGTGTAATAGAAGTCGGATGAATTAGTTAATTTACCAATTTAATTATTAATAAAGTGGGTTGGCGAAGTAAGATTGTTGTTGTTGTTTTGTTTCAGATAAATGCAACAACAAATGCGCACGTATCATCCGGCAAACCTTTTTTTATCATATGAAGTATTTCAAAGAAAATTGGATGCTGCTGCTACAAAAACAGCCGAAACGCTGCAAGATGGACACTTCTCCCTGTTTTCCCCCCATTTCCTCAGGTTTAGATTCGAACCAGTACTTGCTGAGATTAGCGTGTTCAAACAAATAAAAATATAAATTCAAGCCGTAGCCAAGTTTCTATACTATCAGCAACGTTATTAAAAATAATTGTTCCGTAACACAAAGAGAAATCGTACGTCATGCAAATCGGAATTGGCACTCACCACTTCGCTTAAGTGATGGATAGAATTACCTTCAGCGTAAATGGAGAAGTCTGTTCGGGTAAGTTTCGACTCTAAGTTCACTTCACCAGTAATTACAGTTCAATGCCTTGATGACTATAACCACTGCTTAAGTATACTATTAACCAAGTAATGTCAAAATTTAAATAAAACACTCTCAACGGTTTGAAACGCCAAATACATTAGTAACTTATTTATAAATGATTTAGTATCATACGGCCCGACTTTTCGGGTGATTTGCAGCAGCCGTGGTCAGGGGGAATCACGATGAGTGAGAGTTCGAATGCCGTAATGGCAAATCAAAAATAAATCGGGTAGAATTCAGAATCACCTATAAATAAAATAGATCAGTGAAACGCATCGGATCTGACGTTGGATTCGAAGATTTTAATTTGATTTATCGGAGGCATAGGTAGGTCCAGAGTCGTGGTAGAAAAGAATAGCTTCGCCAACGAATTTAAGATTAAATATCGTATTTTTTATTAGCCTATTAAAAATTTGTACATTTCTTAAAATGTGGTATTTACAACAAAAACAGCATCAAAGTTAAAATAAATATAATATAATAACATTCCTTAATTCAAAAAAAAATTTTTTGTTACATTGAGTTGAAAATATAGGTAATATTTGTCCGTACATAAGGCAACACTATAGTTTAAATTGTTTTTACTGCCCTTTTAATACATGTACAGTCAACTTATAATTACTAATTTGTGTAAACTAATAATATATAAAAAATAAATAGATAAGATAGCCCGTTTAAAAGCGATTTCAAGAATTTACTGGCCAAACGACTTTATTTTTCATTTAACTGTGGGCTATTAGGTACTAGAACTGCATAGAATTCTTGTATAAGTCGTAAGATTTATTTTTACAAGGCATATCTAAACAATAGCTCAATTGGTTTGCTGTTGAGCTATCGTTACGGTAAAGTCGGAAGTTGGTCCCCATTGAAAACTTTCTGTAGCTGGCTCCGAGGTGGATTCAGACGAGACGCTCAACGACTTCATCCGCAACCGTCTGAACCTTCGAGGCACCAAATATATGTGCAAGGAAGGCGGATGTGGCATCTGCATAGTTAGCATCACAGCTCCAGATTCTAATGGGCAAAAGCGGGCATTTTCAGTTAACTCAGTAAGTTTATTAGGTTTGCCTACTTTTGTGAACCATTTCAATGAGAACAATATCTAATTTTCTACTTTGGCTCAGTGCCTAACCACAGTGCTATCATGTCAAGATTGGGAAATTACCACAATAGAAGGGCTCGGCAGCAGACAAGCCTATCACCCCTTGCAGCGTACGCTGGCGGAACACAACGGGAGTCAGTGCGGGTTTTGCACTCCGGGCTGGATCATGAACATGCACAGGTGAGATTTGGTCGGTTTTGTAAAAGATTAAGAACATCCTAAAGCCATAATAATTATTACTCCACAGTTTACTTGAAGCCAATGACTACGAGGTGACACAATATGAAGTCGAAAATTCCTTCGGAAGCAATAACTGCAGATGTACGGGTTACCGACCCATTTTAGACGCCTTCAAAAGTTTCGCCAAAGATGCACCAAAAACCAAAATGGTGGACATCGAAGATTTAAATATTTGCAAGAACAAGGGAAAATACGAAAAACCATGTAAAGATTGGTGTATGGTTGAGAAGAGAGACACAAAAGTTAAAAAGATTAAACTAAAAGATGATAAAATCTGGTACAGAGTTTACAAAGTGAGCGAAATGTTTGGTGTCTGGAGTGAAGAAGGACTGGATTCATATATGCTTGTAAATGGGAATACAGGAAGAGGTAAGAGCAAGGAGGACGTTCACTTGATGGAAGGTGACATACCTCAGCCATATAACATCTAAGCGAGATGCGCTGCCGACTAGCGATTAAATTTCAAGGTTTCTTCATCTGTGGAAGGAAATGTGATATTCCTACCACCCATTTAATTTCCCATAAAAAAGTCCAACATATAATTTAAAAATCGAAAATAAATTGAAAAAATTTTCGACTCGGGCGGGACTTGAACCGGCATCGTCAGCTTTCCGTGCTGTTGCTCTACCAATTGAGCTACCGAGTCCTACACCTCATCGTCGAATTTTTTCAACTTATTGATACATGCACCTCTCGCGCAATGTAATTTCTACCTTAACACTTGCGTATTAAGGCTCAATGTCTTATGCTTTGCAGCTTAAGAAATCATTGAAGATGAAATTACAAAGTTATAACGTTTGAAAACATTAATATTTTTCACATGTTATTGCACATAAAGGCACTATATAATTTAAAAATCGAAAATAAATTGAAAAAATTTTCGACTCGGGCAGGACTTGAACCGGCATCGTCAGCTTTCCGTGCTGTTGCTCTACCAATTGAGCTACCGAGTCCTACACCTCATCGTCGAATTTTTTCAACTTATTGATACATGCACCTCTCGCGCAATGTAATTTCTACCTTAACACTTGCGTATTAAGGCTCAATGTCTTATGCTTTGCAGCTTAAGAAATCATTGAAGATGAAATTACAAAGTTATAACGTTTGAAAACATTAATATTTTTCACATGTTATTGCACATGAAGGCACTATATAATTTAAAAATCGAAAATAAATTGAAAAAATTTTCGACTCGGGCAGGACTTGAACCGGCATCGTCAGCTTTCCGTGCTGTTGCTCTACCAATTGAGCTACCGAGTCCTACACCTCATCGTCGAATTTTTTTCAACTTATTGATACATGCACCTCTCGCGCAATGTAATTTCTACCTTAACACTTGCGTATTAAGGCTCAATGTCTTATGCTTTGCAGCTTAAGAAATCATTGAAGATGAAATTACAAAGTTATAACGTTTGAAAACATTAATATTTTTCACATGTTATTGCACATAAAGGCACTATATAATTTAAAAATCGAAAATAAATTGAAAAAATTTTCGACTCGGGCAGGACTTGAACCGGCATCGTCAGCTTTCCGTGCTGTTGCTCTACCAATTGAGCTACCGAGTCCTACACCTCATCGTCGAATTTTTTCAACTTATTGATACATGCACCTCTCGCGCAATGTAATTTCTACCTTAACACTTGCGTATTAAGGCTCAATGTCTTATGCTTTGCAGCTTAAGAAATCATTGAAGATGAAATTACAAAGTTATAACGTTTGAAAACATTAATATTTTTCACATGTTATTGCACATGAAGGCACTATATAATTTAAAAATCGAAAATAAATTGAAAAAATTTTCGACTCGGGCAGGACTTGAACCGGCATCGTCAGCTTTCCGTGCTGTTGCTCTACCAATTGAGCTACCGAGTCCTACACCTCATCGTCGAATTTTTTCAACTTATTGATACATGCACCTCTCGCGCAATGTAATTTCTACCTTAACACTTGCGTATTAAGGCTCAATGTCTTATGCTTTGCAGCTTAAGAAATCATTGAAGATGAAATTACAAAGTTATAACGTTTGAAAACATTAATATTTTTTCACATGTTATTGCACATGAAGGCACTATATAATTTAAAAATCGAAAATAAATTGAAAAAAATTTTCGACTCGGGCAGGACTTGAACCGGCATCGTCAGCTTTTTCAATTTATTTTCGATTTTTAAATTATATAGTGCCTTCATGTGCAATAACATGTGAAAAAAATATTAATGTTTTCAAACGTTATAACTTTGTAATTTCATCTTCAATGATTTCTTAAGCTGCAAAGCATAAGACATTGAGCCTTAATACGCAAGTGTTAAGGTAGAAATTACATTGCGCGAGAGGTGCATGTATCAATAAGTTGAAAAAATTCGACGATGAGGTGTAGGACTCGGTAGCTCAATTGGTAGAGCAACAGCACGGAAAGCTGACGATGCCGGTCAAGTCCGCCCGAGTCGAAAATTTTTTCAATTTATTTTCGATTTTTAAATTATATAGTGCCTTCATGTGCAATAACATGTGAAAAATATTAATTTTTCAAACGTTATAACTTTGTAATTTCATCTTCAATGATTTCTTAAGCTGCAAAGCATAAGACATTGAGCCTTAATACGCAAGTGTTAAGGTAGAAATTACATTGCGCGAGAGGTGCATGTATCAATAAGTTGAAAAATTCGACGATGAGGTGTAGGACTCGGTAGCTCAATTGGTAGAGCAACAGCACGGAAAGCTACGATGCCGGTTCAAGTCCTGCCCGAGGTGGAAATTTTTTCAATTTATTTTCGATTTTTAAATTATATAGTGCTTTCATGTGCAATAACATGTGAAAAATATTAATGTTTTCAAACGTTATAACTTTGTAATTTCATCTTCAATGATTTCTTAAGCTGCAAAGCATAAGACATTGAGCCTTAATACGCAAGTGTTAAGGTAGAAATTACATTGCGGAGAGGTGATGTATCAATAAGTTGAAAAAAATTCGACGATGAGGTGTAGGACTCGGTAGCTCAATTGGTAGAGCAACAGCACGGAAAGCTGCATGCCGGTTCAAGTCCGCCCGAGTCGAAAATTTTTTCAATTTATTTTCGATTTTTAAATTATATAGTGCCTTCATGTGCAATAACAAGTGAAAAATATTAATGTTTTCAAACGTTATAACTTTGTAATTTCATCTTCAATGATTTCTTAAGCTGCAAAGCATAAGACATTGAGCCTTAATACGCAAGTGTTAAGGTAGAAATTACATTGCGCGAGAGGTGCATGTATCAATAAGTTGAAAAAATTCGACGATGAGGTGTAGGACTCGGTAGCTCAATTGGTAGAGCAACAGCACGGAAAGTGAGATGCCGGTTCAAGTCGCCGAGTCGAAAATTTTTTCAATTTATTTTCGATTTTTAAATTATAAGTGCCTTCATGTGCAAAAATGTGAAAAATATTAATGTTTTCAAGTCCAACATAATAAAAAAAATAATAATTAAAAACATTTTGGATCCGGCGGGGATTGAACCTACAACCCGTTTTTCACCAGCCGTAGGTGCTACGATTACACTAACGAGTCCGTCACTTACAATGAAGCACAATCAAATTGACGTAATCATTGCAATCCATTGCATGTTGGTAATTATCTTATCATTAATATTTAATTTGTTCAGAGGTATGTCGTGCCGTATTGTTCTTAAATGAAAATGAAAAGCCATTGAGACATTATTAATAGTAGGTACTCAGCTATACTTAAATTGTAGGCGCTATATACTTATTCGAACTTCCGCGGGTTCTCATCGACGTAAGTGCAGTAGAAGAGTTAAGAACCTATTACTTAGACCAAAACTTGGTTATCGGAGGGGGGACATCGTTGACGGAACTAATGGAGATATTCAAGAGAATGGCCCAAACCTATGAAGACTTCTCCTATTTGGAAAAACTTTACGACCATATCGATCTGGTTGCACATATTCCAGTTAGAAATGTAATCTATACATTCTTATTTCGACATTGCTAAATTAATATTAACAAAAATTCAATTAAAATCTATTGCGCAAACAATTTAGGTCGGGTCGATAGCGGGAAATTTGATGCTAAAAAAACGAAACATGACGTTTGCCTCAGACATATTCATATTATTGGAATCTATTGGCGCTACTATGACTATAGGTAAATTTTTTTAAATCAAGTATATAGTGATGGTTCGCATCTATAACAACAGAAACATTCGCATTTTACAGTGAGCGTAGATAGAAAGAGCGATGTGTCGTTGCAAGACTTTCTGACAATCGATATGAAGGGTAAAGTTATAACCCATGTAAAGATTCCGCCTCTGGGCCATCGGTACAAATTTGCATCATTCAAAGTTAGTACTTATATCCAATATGGTCCTGAAGGGAATTTCGAATTCGTTGAATAGGCTTCCTATGAAAAATGTATGTCACGTTGTAGGTAATGCCAAGATCGCAAAACGCTATCTCACAAGTAAATGGAGCATTCCTTTACGAATTAGATCCAGAAGACGATGCAACGGTTATATCTGCAAGAATAGTTTTTGGAGGTCTGTCGGGGCCTTTTAGTCACGCGTACAACACTGAAGCGTTTTTAAGAGGTCAAAAACTATTCGAAAACCATGTTTTACAAGAAGCTTTGCATATATTGCACGACGAAATAATAGTTGAAGAAATCCCAGGAATGCTTAAACCAGAATTTCGAAAGAAAGCTGCCTTAGGGTTGATTTATAAGGTAGGTTAGTCAATAGAAGCGGTCGCTTTTCGCTGGCAATATTTTTAAAAATGTGAAGGGTGATGTTATCAAAATGTTTTAGAGTTTACTGAGTTTAATTCCGCATCATCTCCTAAACCCGCGTTACCTGTCAGGGGTAATTGATCTTAAGAAAAGCAGGCCACTATCGAAAGGCACAGAGGTTTATGACACGAATCCAGTATTGTGGCCTTTAAATGAACCCATGCCAAAAGTGGAGGCACTCATACAATGCGCTGGTGAAGCCACATTCGTTAACGATGTACAAACCATGAGGAAAGAAGTTTATTGTGCGTTTGTGACAGCGAAAATATTTAGTGGTTCTATTGAACACATAGATCCTACGCCTGCTCTTGTGAGTCAAAAATATTGTATTTTGATGGAATAATTGTATAAGTTATTTATTTATAAGTTACGTTGACGTTATAGTACAACCCATACTTTTTAGCAAACTCCCGGAGTTATAGCTTTTTACTCAGCTAAAGACATACCGGGCAAAAACACTCACGTCAGTGCCACTCTAACAATCTTTACACCCGAAAAAATATTATCAGATGGAAAAATTGATTTCTTTGACCAACCTATAGGTATAATAGTGGCAAAAACGGAAAGGGTAGCTCAAAGAGCTGCGAGTCTCGTTAAGGTTACTTATAACAAAGATAACAGGAAACCTTTGCTGGAAATCCGAGAAATCAAAATCGCAGATCCAAGTCGTATAACGCTTGAGAGACACTTCCCTCCGCTGCAAGAGCCAGGTAAAGCCATCGATCGTGTCATAAAACAGACCGAGAATATATTCTGGCAATACCACTACTCACTGGAAACGCAAAGCACTGTGACGCGACCTAGCGACGACGGCATCGATGTCCTCGCAGCATCGCAATATCCCGATATGACACACTTGTGCGTATCGGAGTCTCTTAACGTGGAGCAAAGTAGGTAAGGTAGCTCGCTTTAATAATTGTGACGTCGCTTTCAAATTCGATAAATGACATTTCCTTCAAAACCAGAGTCAACGTCTCGATACCGCGTTGCGGTGGTGCCTTTGGGTGTAAAATCACTCGAGCTTCACTCATAACAGCGGCGTGTGCGCTGGTGACTTATTTGTTGAACCGCCCGTGCAGATTTGTTATGGACATTCAAGCTAATATACGCGTTATAGGGAAGAGGCTGCCTTGCCATTTGGATTACGAGGTATAATTTTGATTGCTATTATTGCTTTTTCTTTTAGAATGAATTCTGAAGTAATAATTCGTAATAATAAGAATTCGTTTTTCTTACCTTATCAGCGAAATATTTATGTGAAATACTTAGGTTTAAATCTAACTTTTCTATATTAAAGAAAAAAAAACACTTTAATGGTTTAAAACGTGACCACGGCGCTTTGCAGCAGCCGTGGTCACGGGACGTAGGTGGACTGACGTCAAAGTAAAAAACTGCTACGCTAGCGCCATCTGTTCTGGCTTGGTCCTTGCAGAATTGACTTCACTTTTGTTGGTATGCTGTTTATTGAATCCAGAGTTTTTATTATGGAAACCCAGGTGTTTCATTATTAGAGGCCGTCGTTCCTATTGAATTTTCCTGTTTTTTTTTTTAATTTTAATTGCTTCGCGTATCAATCTTGGAAAAATCTACTCTTCTTAGCGAGGATTTTTAGCTGTTTAAAGCGAATGTAGTGATGGGGCTCCTTAGATGAGTGTTGGCATACCGCAGATTTAGAGAGACGTTTATGTTTTATATCCGCAATGTGTTTCTTAATTCCGTTCGAGACACTTCGCTTTGATTGACCGATACAGGATCAGAATCCAGTCTGTAAACCCTTGCAACTTGTAGAGGCATAGTACATTTGGTAGGTTTTAGGAATTGCTGAATCTTCTTGTGCGGCTTAAAAACTGTGTCAATAGAAGCTCATTTTAGGACTCTGCTAATTCTATCTATAAATCCTTTCACATATGGTAGGTAGGCGGGCTGACTTTGGACTGTGGGCGGCATGTTCCTGTTACTGGCTTAGCTTACTGGGCGCTGCGGAGGGACTTTTAGCTTGTTTTTGCATAGGACCTGCTTGACATGCCCACTTAGACACTTCTCTGAAATAAAGATACTCCGACAGAACTAAGTTGGCTGGGGTGGTGATGTGAGTCACCGTTCAAGTACTTATCTGTATGGGTTGTTTTTCTAAAGACGGTATGCTCGATGTTATCGTATTTTCAAACAAGTTGAACTAAAGTATATCGCGTTTTAAAGTTTTTATTTAAATGTGTACTACTTGCGTAAACTACAGACTGTATTTTCCGTATTATTTATTTTCAAAATCTTTTCCCTAATTAGGTGGGCGTCAGTAGATCTGGCGTGATTCAGTATATGAAGTATCATCTATTTTCGGATATTGGCTTTAAGCAAACCGATCCACTAGTACTTTTGACGCTTGACAGCATAAGAAACTGCTATGACAATCGGACGTGGGACTTCAGTGCTTATAGTGTCAAAACAGACACTCATACCAATACTTACGCTAGAAGCCCCGGTAAGAAAAGTTCGCGTTGTTTTTTGAGCAAGTGTAAATAGTAAATACCGAGTGTATAGCATAATATATTCGATTGCTTCTAGGTAGCCTGGAGGCAATATGTATGACGGAACACGTCTTGGAAAGAATTTCGTACGAACTTGACTTAGATCCCATCTACGTCCGCACCAGAAACCTTAACCCGCAATACAAAGAAGTTAGGGACGTGTTAGACCGTTTAGTGAAAATAAGCGACTATGAAGTTAGGAAAAAGGAAGTTGAGGAATTCAATTCAATGAATAGATGGAAGAAACGAGGTCTTCGTGCAGCCGTTATGAGTTGGCCGAGTCCAGCCGCAATTGATTTCCATATCTTAATAGCGATCTACCACGGCGATGGTAGCGTCGTTATCAAACACGGAGGCGTTGAAATCGGACAGGGAATCAATACAAAAGTAATCCAAACGGTAGCATTCGTTTTTAAAATTCCCACTAGTAAAATTCAAGTTAAGGCGATAGACGTCGCATCTGTCCCAAATAATCTTAACACAGAAGGCAGTAGAACTACTCAGGCGATTTGCTTTGGTGCCATAAAATGCTGTCAAATTATTTTAGAACGCCTAGCTGCGGTTAAAACACCCGAAGAGCATCCTTCGTGGGAGGATTTAATACAAGCCGGCTTTATGCAAGGTGTTAATTTACAAGCAGACTATCAAGTGACGGCGGCCGACCAAGAGTCGCATAGATCGGCCGGCGCGGCCATATCGGAAGTTGAGTTAGACATTTTAACTGGAGAATTACAGGTCCTTCGGGTAGATATTGTCGAAGATGTTGGAACAAGTATTAACCCTGAAATCGATTTAGGACAGGTGATATTAAAATAATTAAGATTGCCTTTAAAACAACAATGATAATACTATGTTTAAAATAATAATATTGTTTAATTCAGATCGAGGGGGCATTCATAATGGGCCTAGGATATTGGACTTCAGAACAAATCATTTATGATCATGACAGCGGTGAAATACTGACTGATCGCACTTGGACCTACCAGATTCCACAGGCTAAAGATATACCCATAGACTTTCGCATCGAATTGCAGAGGAACCACAATCCGATAGCAACTTTGGGATCCCGAGGTATGCGTACTGTGATGTTTAACTTGCTAATCCAGTAGGACTTGGAATTATGTATTTGCTTTTGACCTTTTGGTTCTACGTTTTTATTTCAGCCGTAGCTGAACCTGGAACTTGTTTGGCGGTGTCGGTTGCATTCGCGTTAAAGAGGGCTCTAGCTGATTCCAGAGAAGAAACAGGATTCCCCCAAAGCGAGTGGTTCGCTGTTGGTAAGATCTAATAACTTACTAATCTATACTGGTTCGATTTTTTTGTGTTGCTTAGATAATTTATCAAAGAGTTAATTGTGGAATAAATGTGGACACGTAAAGATCAGCTCTTGCCCTGTGTGACATGCGAAAACGGTTCAAGATATAAAAAATATGTATAAAATATTGATTCTGAGACAGTATTTGTCTATCTTTTAAGATTAACTCGCAATAACCGTTTGTATGTTATTCAAATCAACAATAATTTTGCGTATTGCGGATCAGCTAGTTATATCATGCTTAAAGCCTTATTCTTTAGTGAGAAGCCAAGACAAACTAAAATGAGGAGTCCTTCTATATCAGAGTTCCCCAAACTTTTTTGTGTCGTAGACCCCTTGTCATATTTTTCCGTGTTCGGTAGACCGCAACTTTACGACGGATATTGATTTCCTGTAAATTTCTAACTGTAATTTAGTGTTAAAAAATATTTTAAAGTTCAAAATGTATTGCGACCACAAAGCGAATATCAACATCCTACAACTTACACACTTTCATAAACTAAAATAATATTTTTTTACTTCATTGGTACTTTTATAAATTATCTATTTGTTTTGATATTTTAAGATAGTATGATGTGAATAAATAGATACTATCAGTGTGTGTTGAGATCCACTATAACCTCTCATTTTCATTTTATGGACCCCCAAATTTATTTCGCGTCAGCTAAACAGTCTACGTCAGGGGACCCCTTGCAGGTTGTAATAGACCCCTATTGGTCGATATAGTCAACTTTGGGTATCAATGTTCTATATGTATAGATCATTCCTTCATAATGCATACCTGCACACCAAAACAATTACACTCTTATATATATAATAAAAAAAGAGGCTTTTCTAAGTTGTAACTCTAAGTATTAAGTTCTTTCCTATATTGTCCAAATAATTTTATAGTGAGATCGCGGCGAAGGGGGCTGGTGACTTGTATCACAGGTATACCTATAACAGGCACCAGGCTTTCACAACGTGATACATATAAAATTAAAGTAGCTTGTAAGTTCATTGTAACATTGTAAAGTTGTGAGTGCTAAATAAATATTTTTTTTTTCAGATGGTCCTTATACTGTTGCAGCAAATGTTTTACACGCTGAGGTGAACATAAAGGAGTTTCTTTTTAATTAATTCTTTAATAGAAAAGGTTTTAAGGTTGTCGCAATGTAGATAATATAAATTCTTATTGCTAGTAAGTATTGTTAATCACTATTCTTATTTTTTTATGAGTATTGGTTCGGAAATCAGAAACATTTTTCTTTGTATTTGCTTTGCTTATATCCTACTTTCTTGTGCATTATATTAGGTCTATTGTATTTTAATGTTTATTTGGTATATATGTAATAAATTATATAACGAAGTATGAGCACTATTTCTTAAATTTCCTTGGAGCCACAGTCATAGGTACCGTAGAATACACTATAATTTTAGGTAATAGATCAAATTATGTTAGACTTAAATAATCAAAACAGTATATTTATACTAATTAGCTCATGAGTTTGTTTGTTTGAACGTCCTAATCTCAGGAACTACGGGGGTCGGGATTTTTAAATCTTTGGAAAGGCTAGGCATTGCTCTTACTAATAGGAGCAAAGAAACAGCGGAAAATGAGGAATATTATTAATCTTTGTAGATTTCCGATGCTTACACTGCGAAAACGGTTCAAATTACACAAAAATGATATATGAGAGAATGATTCTTCTTTAAATGGTAAAAAAGTGACAGTACATGTCTATTGTCTATCTCTTAAGATGAACTCGCAAGAACGATGGGACGCGACCGACGTCGTGGGTAACAGCTTTAATTTATAAAGATGAGGTTTGTAAAAACAAATTTCGATACCCAAAGAACTATTCTACGCGGATTAAGCAGCTGACACACCTAGTGGTTTATATGTAGTCTTCACCAATAAATGTTCTAACCGATATAAAAATGACTTCAAGCTGAATCTGTACTTCCTGCGATTAGCGCGTTCAAACGAACAAACAAACAAACGCTCCTCGGGTTTCTATAATAATATAGATAAAAAGTGTTACGATAGTTTTCATTGATTATAATTAAAAATTCCTCTCAGCAATTTTTATGTTACACCTTATTTAAGTCTAACAAGCGCGGAACCAACCTTCAAAAAAAGGTTGTGGTCACAGCTACTAGAAAATCGGCTAAGTACAAGTGAACTTTTGATTTAGATCATTTCCTTTTTTCTGAGCATCAGGACTTTGGCCTTAGGAATGGAAAGAAACTTAAGAAGAAATCGGACCCGATCTCCAAATTAAATAGTTATTTTCCATCCAATAGGTTTATTACAATCAATAACTTACATGTTTTTGTTTTTTTTTCTAGTAGCCAGTAAGCCAATATAGGGACATTAGACTGGGTAAATAGGTATCTTGACGTTGTATCAGGAGTAATGTATGGGAGATCAGCAAGTGAGATCCACCAGGCGAGATTTTGATTATTTTTTACTTTTCTAAAAATATATAAAATTAAATTAAATGCTAGGTACATTATACAACTTTATTTAGATACTTATTTAAATTACAAATTCAAGCTTACCTTTTCTTTTTTCGAAAACATTGATAATGTTATCGATATCCAGGTTCACACTTTAAAGAGGTGGTGGATTTATTTTATAGTTATCTATCAGTAAATGAAAAAAACCTATCCAAAAAGAAAACAACTACCCTGGCTATCACACACAAAAATCAATACTTATATAAAATGCAATAATTATACTTACTCTTTGTTAGTATTCTATATAAAACAATTAAAATAAAAATAAGTTTAAAATTTAATAAATAAAATAATGTCATTAAAATAATTAAGTAAATATATTATATTAATATATAAATAACATATATATTATTTGAAAAAATAATAAAGTAATTTAGTTTATAACCTTTTTTAGGTTATGATAGGTTGCTTACGTTTCATAGCACAAACAAAAGTAGGTACATACTGCGCGCGGCTCGGAAATTTTGGTGGCTCGGCAATAAGTTTGCAAAAATGTGACATAAGTCATAACGTGTCAGCATATCGTCTATGGCTCGTCGTTCGATAACATTATAACAACAGTAGGTAGACACATTGTAATTTTTTTTTAATAATGTATGTATCCAATTAAGTACTTCCAAAATATGTCACGCGCATTAAAATTGCGGTTTATGTAAGGTCCTCTCAAAATACGTGTCGATCTTAGTTATAAAATTTTACCTGACGAGGTATTCTTGAGGTATTAAGATTTGGCAAGAGACTTCGCTGTTTGTCTAAGAATTCGGTATTATAACCTTAAACCTATGGTAGTACGTTTAATAGTATAGGTACTGTGTTGGTTTGGTCCCGGTATACCAATAAAAGACATGTTGTGTCTATAAGGTTTTAATTAAGACTAACTACTTACTTAACTTAACTTACACTAGGATACACTTGATGTATCATAAATATGTACTAAGTATGTATACTAATAATCTTAAAACTTCATGTCGTAAATAAAATTAGATAACTAATATAACATCCATATATGTTTTATTTGGCTGTAATTGTAAATAACTTAATTACCTGCAAACAAGATGTGTCGGTCGAGTACTTCTATACCAGTTTTTCTGCTTGCTAAATAGTGTTATCCGCTATTGTAATTCATTGCAGATCCGTTGCAGTTTTCTCCTACTTTTAAAAGTTAAGGTTCAACGTTGAATGCATTTATTCACACGATTAATAACTTAATTAATGTCTATAATACATTAATCGCGTCAGTCGCGGGTTTGAGTCCCGCTTGCATTATGGATTATTTTAACACTTTTTCAATTCATACTCTATATAACTATAATCACGTCTTCTGTCTGTTAACAGATGTGTATATATGTTTAAACAATTCATTGTGCCTGTATTTTTTAACGCTTATTTCAATGAAAAGAATTAAAATATTATAATTTTTATTTTTTGCATTACATATCTTCTTATCATAATACAAAAACTGGTTTATATCCAATACAGGAAATTAATAAAAAAATACTAATAAGTGATTTATTGAATCCTTTAAAACACACTCCCTTATTATGACCATTCAACCAATAGCGAATATTCTTTATCAGCTGCAACATATGTATGTAGTAACTTCAATGTAATGTATAATTAACTAAACTAGATTGAACCGTGTAAAAGTTGAATATAACAGTTAGTAACGGTGTGTTCTAATTTGCTTGATTTCTGAACAATGGATAGAATAATTTTCAGTGTAAATGGTGAAGTTTGTTCGGGTAAGATTTACATTGACCTTCGTCAGTATAATCAGTAAATCTCTCCCAGTGGAGAGACTAATTATTGTAATTAATTAAAGTGATACATTATAGCTGGCTCCGAGGTGGATTCAGACGAGACGCTCAACGACTTCATCCGCAACCGTCTGAACCTTCGAGGCACCAAATATATGTGCAAGGAAGGCGGATGTGGCATCTGCATAGTTAGCATCACAGCTCCAGATTCTAATGGGCAAAAGCGGGCATTTTCAGTTAACTCAGTAAGTTTATTAGGTTTGCCTACTTTTGTGAACCATTTCAATGAGAACAATATCTAATTTTCTACTTTGGCTCAGTGCCTAACCACAGTGCTATCATGTCAAGATTGGGAAATTACCACAATAGAAGGGCTCGGCAGCAGACAAGCCTATCACCCCTTGCAGCGTACGCTGGCGGAACACAACGGGAGTCAGTGCGGGTTTTGCACTCCGGGCTGGATCATGAACATGCACAGGTGAGATTTGGTCGGTTTTGTAAAAGATTAAGAACATCCTAAAGCCATAATAATTATTACTCCACAGTTTACTTGAAGCCAATGACTACGAGGTGACACAATATGAAGTCGAAAATTCCTTCGGAAGCAATAACTGCAGATGTACGGGTTACCGACCCATTTTAGACGCCTTTAAAAGTTTCGCCAAAGATGCTCCGAAAACTAAAATGGTGGACATCGAAGAGTTAAATGTTTGCAAGAACAAGGGAAAATGCGAAAAACCATGGTGCATCGTTGAGAAGAGAGATACAAAAGTTAAAAAGATTAAACTAAAAGATGATAAAATCTGGTACAGAGTTCACAAAGTAAACGAAATTTTCGATGTCTGGCGTGAAGAAGGATTGGCTTCATATATGCTTGTAAATGGAAATACTGGTAGAGGTGATTAAGATTTTCAATTATTATTTTACTAAACTAAACCCGGTCAAACATTATACATTTATTGTAAACAATTTCCGTCAGGAGCTGTGTACATCTTTGAATTTCCTCGTGTTCTCATCGACATAAGCGCGGTGGAAGAATTGGGAAACTATTATATTGACCAAAATTTAGTGATCGGGGCCGGTACAAACTTGACAGAAGTAATGGAAATATTTAAGACGATCTCACAAAAGTATGAAGACTTTTCATACTTACAAAAACTCTACGAACACTTGGATCTAGTTGCACATATACCAGTTAGAAATGTAAAGTTTTTACTCATATCGTAAAAACATGTTTTTATTATATAGATGTAAACAATAAAATGGAAGTTTGTTGTTATTATAGGTTGGTTCATTGGCCGGAAATTTAATGATAAAGAAAAGAGATATGACGTTCGCTTCAGATGTTTTTTTGTTACTTGAAGCCATTGGAGCTGTGATAACAATTGGTAAAATTAAAATAATAGCAATATATAAGAACAGCGATTTGTTGATATTCTTCCCATATACATTTCTTTTAATATTGCAGTGAGCTCAGAAGAAACCAAAAACGTAACTTTGCAAGATTTTCTCTCAGTCAATATGAAAGGAAAAATTATAACTCAAGTGAAGATTCCTCCACTTGGTCACAGTTACAAGTTTCAATCTTTCAAAGTAGGGTTTTATACACCTTATTATAAGAATAATGACTAAAGTATATAGTTTTTGAAATATTATATCTAATGCAGGTAATGCCGAGGTCACAAAATGCTGTGGCACAAGTAAACGGGGCATTCCTTTACGAATTGCATCCAAACGATGATCAACGAGTTTTATCTGCAAGGATTGTTTATGGCGGTCTTTCAGGGCCATTTACTCATGCATATCGAACTGAGAATTTTCTCAAAGGCAAAAAACTATTTGATAATGAAGTGTTACAAGAAGCTATACACATATTAAGAGATGAAATACTTGTTGAGGAAATTCAAGGAATGCTTAAGCTTGAATTTCGTAAGAAAGCTGCTATTGGTCTATTTTATAAAGTAATTAACATCTTTATTCCTCTTGCCTTGAGTTTTTTATGTAAAATTATGGAACAATTTTTATTAATGTTGAATAATATTTTTTAGAGTTTACTTAATATAATTCCGCATCGTCTCTTAAACCCACGTTACCTGTCGGGGGCAATTGATCTTAAGAAAAGCAGGCCACTATCGAAAGGCACAGAGGTTTATGACACGAATCCAGTATTGTGGCCTTTAAATGAACCCATGCCAAAAGTGGAGGCTCTCATACAATGCGCTGGTGAAGCCACATTCGTTAACGATGTACAAACCATGAGGAAAGAAGTTTATTGTGCGTTTGTGACAGCGAAAATATTTAGTGGTTCTATTGAACACATAGATCCTACGAACGCACTTGTATGTAAAGTACTAAACATTTTAAAATATTAGTGAATCAAAAGCTACAAAATATGAAAATGTGTCTTATTATTTATTACAGAAAATTCCTGGAGTAATATCTTTCTACATAGCAAAAGACATCCCCGGGAAAAACACATTTATCAGCGCAACAGTGACAGGGTTTGAACCAGAAAAAATACTGTCAGATGGCAAAATATATTATTTTGATCAACCCATAGGCATCCTGGTAGCTGAAACCGAAATTCTGGCTAAGAGGGCGTCAACTCTTGTTGAAATTACATACAAAAAAGATATAAGAAAGCCGTTATTAGAAATTTGTGATGTTAAACTAACAGACCCAAGTCGTATCGAGCTCTATAGACATTTTCCACCCCTCCAAAAACCTGGTGCAGATGTTGATTGCGTTATAAAACAAACAGAAAATATATATTGGCAATATCACTATTCTTTGGAAACGCAAAGTTCCGTTACACGTCCAAGTGATGATGGGATTGAAGTGTTAGCATCTTCTCAATATCCGGACATGACCCACTTGTCAGTATCAGAGTCTCTTAACATAGAACAAAGCAGGTATGACATCAGTATTACGGACATTGTCAATTTTCTTCCTTTTAACTGCCATTAGTTTATTTTAGAATCAACGTTACTATACCACGATGTGGTGGTGGATTCGGAAGTAAAATCAGCAGAGCTTCATTGATAACGGCCGCCTGTGGAATCGTTACTTACTTGTTAAATCGACCTTGTAGGTTTGTTATGGATATCCAAGCAAATATGCGGATAATAGGAAAGAGATTACCTTGTCAATTGGATTATGAGGTTATTTAAGGTTATTGTCATTTTTTTGTTTCTGTTTTCTTTATATTATATTTAAGTAACATTTTATGTAACAGGTGGGCGTCAGTACCGCTGGCGAGATTCAGTACCTTATATATGATCTCTATTCAGACATTGGTTATTTCCAAAGTGACCTAATTGTTCCCATAAGCCTGCCTGGGATAAGAAGCTGTTACAACTATCTTACCTGGGACTTTAGTGTTTATAGTGTTAAGACGGACACTCATGCAAACACATATACGAGAAGTCCAGGTAAAACTCATTTGCTTACTTTGACAATGTAGAATTGTCTGGACTGTATGTATCGAGACTAGCAAAAACATTGTTTTTTTTCAAATTAACTAGTATGTTTATCGTTTGCAGGAAGCCTTGAAGCTATTTCTATGACTGAACATGTAATGGAAAGAATCTCTTACGAACTCGACCTAGATCCGTTAGAAGTCCGTATTAAGAATATCAATCAAGAATTTAGTGATGTTAGAGACGTTGTTCAAACTTTGTTGAAAAACAGTGACTACGAAAAGAGAAAAAAATCAGTTGAGGAATTCAATTCAATGAATAGATGGAAGAAGCGAGGTCTTCGCGCAGCCATCATGAGTTGGCCTAGTCCGATTCAAGTAGATTTTAATATTTTAATTTCGATCTACCACGGCGACGGTAGCGTTGTTGTGAAACACGGGGGCGTTGAAATCGGTCAAGGAATAAATACCAAAGTCATTCAGACCGTAGCATACATCTTCAAAATACCATTGAGTAAAATACAAATCAAAGCGATAGATGTTGCCTCTAACCCCAATGACTACAATACAGTGGGAAGTAGAACTACCCAGGCCATTTGTTTGGGGGCAATAAAATGCTGTCAGATTATTTTAGATCGCCTTGCCGCAGTTAAAACGCCTCAAGATGATCCTACATGGGAGGAGGTAATACAAGCGGCATTTGTACAAGGCGTCAATTTACAAGCTAGCTATCACGTGACGGCTGCAGATCAAGAACCGCACAGATCAGCTGGGGCGGCAGTCGCTGAAGTAATGTTAGATATTTTAACAGGAGAGTTACAGGTACTTCGGGTTGATATCGTCGAAGACGTGGGAACCAGTATCAACCCGGAGATTGATATAGGACAGGTATAAGAACTAACAGTATCTTTAACTTTTATTTTTACTTTAATATTCATTATTTTCAGATTGAAGGTGCTTTTATTATGGGCCTGGGATATTGGACTTCTGAACATATTATACATGACGAGAAGACTGGTGAAATTTTAACAGATCGTACATGGACTTACCACATTCCGCAAGCGAAAGATATTCCCGTTGACTTTAGGATTGAATTGAGAAGGAATCACAACACTAATGGAATACTTGGTGCTCGAGGTATACATTTATTTTTCTATGATTTATATAATTACCGAATATCTAACTGTTAAATAATGTTATTTATAGTAGTGTCATCTATCTATACTAATATACAAAGCTGAAGAGTTTGTTCGAACCACTCAGGCTCGAATTGAAATATTCGTTTTGCGTTGGTGATAGAATTTATCGAGGAATGGTACAAAACATCATAATGCGACCAATAGGAGCGAAGATGCAGTAGTAAACGTCGATAAAATTGGTAAAATTATTTATAAAAGAATAATTCGTCTCCCAATTACATAAAAAATTCCTGCGACAATATATGTCTATCTTTTAAGATTAACTTGCAAGAACGACTGGACGTCGTCGGTAACAGCTATAGTTTTTAAACATGAGGAGGAGGTTGAACAATCAAATTAAAATCAAATAATAATAAGTACTCTTTTATTGCAGCGGTTGCTGAACCGGGAACCTGCTTGGCTGTTGCTGTAGCCCTTGCTTTGAAGAAAGCCATTTCGGACTCTAGGGAAGAAACTGGGTTTCCCAAAAATCAATGGTTTGCCGTTGGTAAGGACTCGACTTTAATATAGTTATTTAAATTGTTTATTTGTCCGTCGTATTACGAAGGATTAACACATTAGCACATTCAATTACGCATTCGAACATCTCACTTCCAATTACTGCAATTAGCATTTGAAATGTAATCGTTCATAATTAATAAATATTTCAGATGGTCCCTACACCGTTGAAGCAAATGTTTTACACGCTGAAGTTAATTTGGAGGAATTTATTTTTAACTGATTTTTATTTTTCTACATCCACATCGGGGACAGGAATTTTTTATCCCTCGGTAATGAAAGCAGAAATGGAATAATACTTGATTATAGGTATTTTTATAGTTAGTTAGCGTATATAAGTTATTCTAGTTATACATTTATATAAATACCTTTAAGTGGAATATAAAACAGAAACGCCTTCGCAACCCATAATAGCAAAATTTTTAAGTAGAGATTTTGCTCTTATAATATATGTACGATTTTTTGTAGTATCGATATAGTATTATTGTCTATGGTAATATCTAGTACGTCATATAGGTCAGGTTTAATCCCGTTTCCCTCTCGTGAGGCATGGGGCGAACACATTTTTAACAGGCAAGTAGTTGTTCAGACTTCAGTGTCCTGCCCGATCGAAACAATTTTTTCGTTTCCCTGGGATTGGAACCCAGGACCTCTTGCGCTTAACGCAATGCTAGGCAATACGTTTAACCATTTGGCTACAGAGGCGGTCAGTACGTCATATAAGTGTTCAGAAAATATGCTAAAAAAAGGTAGCAATAAAATATATAAAGGCATATATTGTCGTTTATTGATAATAAGAAATTAAATTGTCAACGAAAACAATCATATCGTAATACGTAGTATGTATTCTTAGATAATCCGTTTTATTAATTCTTCTTCTAAGCTTATTTAACCGAAAGTGTCTTCACAAATAAAATGTTTCACCCTTTTGTTACATGTTCTTGAGATTGGAAATACAATATTTCTTATTTGAAAGAAAACAATTAGAACCCCTGATCATGCACCAGCCACAAATTGTGTTCATGTCTTCTTGCGTCAATGTGTCTCCGCATTTCAAAACAATTCTTATCAATTAATTACGCTTAATAGGTCATTAGATACATATTAGATATTTATTCCATCTATAAATTAATCATAGACAATATTGAAATCTTTAGGAGCAAAATGCTAACGTCAATGCTCTTTAATAAAAATATAAATTAAGAATATATTGTATTAATGACAACTTTTCTTATTTCTTGCGACATCAGAGTGGTCCGATTATTAACAATGCTTGATTCTAGCTTATTGCCATCACCACCAGTTCTTTCTGGTTCAGGGATACAAGGAAAACAGACATATTTAATGTACTAAGTTGAAAAACAAAAAGGAGAATTATATAGATATTGAACTCAACGATTGTAGGATTCTGTAAACAGTTTAATAAATAATAACATCAAAATGTAATTACTTACGCAAGTGAAGACGATAGCCCCGCCGGGGTTACCATATGGAGCGGGGCTTAGGACTTTTATCGTTTGTTATATTATGTCTACTAGCCCGTAATATATATTAAGTTTTTTAGCGTGGGAGTAATTTATTATATAATAACAGTCACAGTGCTTATTAATTTATTCACCGATCGGTCGTTATGGTTCCTTAAATAGCTTACAAAAGAATTAGGGCATTTAAACAAGCCACTCCTAAGTAATATCTATACTACTATTAAGCTGAAAATTTTGTTTGTTTGAACACCCAATCTCAGAAACTACTGGTTCGAATTATTTGTGTGTCGGTTTGAGCATTTATCGAGGCAGACTTTAGGCTATAAAACATCACGCTGCGAAATATTATTTATTTATTCTGTATTAGGAGTGAAGAAACAGTGGAAATGTGGAAAAACCAATAAAATTTAATATTATAAGAGAAACAGAAAAGGTCTTATATTTTGAGAAAGGTCTAGGAAGACGCTAATGTAATAATGTATATTTACAAACACTACGTAGTTTACTACCACCGCCACTAAAGTGTATTTCATTATTGTCACCCTGAAATGCGCACCACATGTTCCTTTCGATAACATTAGTTTTCCTTGACTTACGAGATACGCAGCACATTTGATAAACTTTAAAGTGTGACGTGTGAACGACTAAAGCAGTGAGCAGCAGGACTGGAAATAAATCGGTCAGGAAGTCCAATTTGGGGGTAGTATTGTAGTTGGTAGGAGAATATGGTCGAGTAGTATACGAATGGTACAAATGGTACTTTGATATCCTATTGCAAGAAACAAACCATTTTATTTAAAAAAAATTAATTAACTTATGCCGGTCCTATTATTTCTTCTCATGGAGTGAAACATTCCTTTCTGAATTATCTGAGTATTATGACAACAGATTTCCCCACACTGTACCATTAAAAATGTGATCTACCAAGTACCAAGTCGACGATTAGACACGATGTGCTTATTATGCGTTTAGCAGGTTCCAAGGCTGATACTTAGCATAGAGTTAGTAAACAAATCATTTGACATAAACAGTAGCACGTGCTGTATTCTGACGAAATTATCATATCGTAAATATTGAGCTAGTTAAGCTCTATACCTAAACGTGATTTACTTTAAAGATTTAGTGTTGTGCAATATGCTTATATTATGTTACCGTACATTCGTGTAACATAAGTTATTACAGACATACGCAATGATCACTATAGTAAATCAGTTCGATATCATGATATCAAAGTGAATCATCGTCTGCCAGTAGTACTCGGACCACGCTGTACCAAAACAAACAGAAGGATGTTCAATGAAACACGTTTACGTCCGAGGACGGTAAACACGGCGGCGGCGCATGCGCACCATGAACTAACCACGCTTCATTCGTGTGACCGACGGTCCCTTTCCGTGGAAATTATAGGAATTAGGAAGGAATAATTTTCTTGTTTTCTTCCATAACAATTAGATTTACACACAGAGTTTTATGTCTATCGTTTTCGACGAATGATTCACTATTCTGTACAAATTTATTTTTTACCTCTTCATTAGGTTTATTAGTTTTTCTAAAAAAAGATATCGTACAAGTTTGAATCTAAAAATCTCATGTAATATAATCTATGCCTAAATGTAAAAAATACTAAATAATTCGTTAATTTTAGACTGTCTTAGACAACTACTTAAGACACTAGATTTGTATTCTTTTAAATCGACTTAGTACAATTGACAAGTCCCTACCTAACATGCCAAGCAATGGGTTTTCTCGGCATTTTCTAGTATTTTCTATTCTTAAATGGACCTCTTATAATCGTGGAACCTATAAAATAAACAGTAAATATCGTATATAGGTTACAATCACGTTGGTCTACACGTGTAATACAACAATAATATTATTTAAGCGAAATTATCGCCAATTTTATTGCTATCGCAGTCTCTGTAATAAGTAATTAAACACTTTGGGCGTTTAGCGTTTATTCAGCATTTATTTAATTGTATTGTCCAGAGAAAGAAATATTCTGAGCGGAAGTTTATGAAGAGTTTTATTGTGTTCATAAAGTGTCTGTTGTCTTACAAAATTTTATCCATCCTTTGGGACTTATGCTTGGAAGTATCATGGGAACATTTCAGAAACAATTACTAAAGTAGTCACTACCACTAAATAAATCCCTATGTAACAATGCACTCCGTGTGGGAGAAACAACTTACGTTAGCCTAATTACTTACATAAGTGCGCGTCATAATTATTTTTAAGTAGATATGATATTTTGGATTTACACACGGCTCAATACAATTTACTTAAATTTTTAATTTCAGACCATTTCTAGTATACTACCGAGTTACAGTTATTACGATCTATAAAACAGTTTAGATAATGAATGAGACGACAACAGATTTGCAGCAGCCTAAACGTCGGGTCTTAGTTAAAAGTAAGTTCACTAATATATTGACCGTTTCCAACCGTTAAAAGTGGTTTATTTAATAAGTATGTCGCGTAAAGTACGACTACAGCCAATGTTTAGAAACAATTAGTATAGAGCGACGACTTTGTCTTTTAGTTTAGTGCTAATGTTATACAAAAAAAATCACTTACTAATAACACAATTAGGTATGGCACATAATATTATTATGACAAGACTACATATTTTATCTTTATCAAAATAATAACTTAATTCCTAAATACTGTCTATAGTTTACGCGAGTAGTACACATTTAAATAAAACACTTTAACGGTTTAAAACGCGATATATTAGTTAAACTTATTTGAAAATGATTTTTAACTAATATATCGCGTTTTAAACCGTTAAAGTGTTTTATTTAACTTAATTCCTGTCAAATAAGAGCATAAGAGATACAACTCGGTTCACACATATGCAATCTTTATTGGCTACAAAAAAAATTCGCATGTAGAGACGAGCCAACCCTCGACGGGTCACCGGATTGATAACCTCCTCGCGACGGCTTCGACGGACCTTCGACATAATAAGACGTAAGACAGAACATCAAACGAGCGAGTCGCGCACTAAGATTATAAAGGTGACGACGCACACAACTGAAATAGTTCGTCTCCGATCTCAGTCGATGATGTTTATCTAACAACGGACGCGACGAACCATTTCAATAACAATTAAACTTGCAATGACACAGTTTAAACGTAACGGTGTGAATTGAAGGGACCATTTCAAATTTCGCGGCCATCTGTTGCGCGTGCGTCGAAAACGCTCTGTGATTGGTCGCGCCTCGGAACGTGAAAAACATGAGTGAATTCAAGAATAGTGGCAGTCGATCTGCGTGCAACAGCAAAGGGAGCATGATTGTTGTTTCGAACCGCTTACCGTTTGTTTTGAAAAGAAATGAGAAAACCGGCGAATTAGAGCGCAAAGCCAGGTATGTTTACTATAATTTTAATAAATATTCCAAATGAATAGAAACTGCGTGAAACTCCCTAAGGAAACGTTCTAGAAAGAGTAAAAAATGTTGAAGTTACAAAGTTTAAACTATTACCTACGATATATATATATATTTTATAAAGTGGTATTGCGACAACATATTGTGAACAATTTTGAAAGTTATATCAAATTTAAAAAAATACGAACGAGTTTACACCTTAACCGCGAGCCTTACTAAGTTCGGGAAATTTCGCGAAGCGTACAGCGTTTGTCCTATAGTCCTTAAGATAAATTACATTGATTAAAGTTTCCTTTACTCTGCTTGTTTGTAATTAAAATAAATTAAAACCTTGACTTAAATAATAACATGTTTGTAAATTGACTAATAATCACAAAACATAGATATGTCGAAGGGCACCACATTGATCGTTAGATACCTATTCTGGAGTCTAAAAATATCTTTTTGTTTGATTTACTCAGTAACATGTTCTTGGATATAAATTATTGCCAACAAATTTGGAACAATGTTTTGTTTTATAGTTAATTCAAGTCAATGTGATAAAAAAAGTGCTATATGATCGTTTATTTTGTATGTGAACAAGATCTTTGGTACGGTAGCTCAATTAGTTAGAGCAGCACAGCACAGATTAATTGAACAAATGAACAAAACAACGCGTGTCGTAATATTTTTTTAATTTAAATAGTCAATTACATTTTTTTAATAATCTGTTATATTAAACAGCGTTGGTACTAGGTTATTTAGTTTTATTTGTCGTTATTTTAAAAATAAATTCAAATCCATAAAAGGTAGGTAGGTATATGAGCTTAATCGTGGTTTTCTCTTTGGCTCAGTGGCGTTTCTTTATTCGAGTTGCCTTTATTTGTCCTGTTTTGAACCTAAGGGGACGTCACTTAAATGACATACAATAGGTACTCCTGTCCATTCACAACCGAGATATCGTAATAACAGTCTGATAATGATCATAGTACGGTATTCCAGCGCCGGTGGCCTCGTGACCGCAGTAGCACCAGTGGTGATACGAGGGAGTGGTATTTGGGTGGGATGGCCTGGGATTCACCTCGATAACCCCAACGAGGAGATACCCGAATCGGACCCTAACGACAAGGCGCCCACCGCTGGTTTGCGCTCTAATAAGGTAAATTTATAAATGCTTTTGTGTAAATTGCAATTTACGAATGAACTACCAAGTTACCTACTTTGTTCAATATTTTATTTACTTTTGCAAACAACCTCCTCAGCTTTTTAAATTAAAGCTGTTACTAACATCGTCCGTGTCCCGTTGCGTCGATCTTGCGCGTTAATCCTAAAAACGACACACTGTCGCGGATATCTTTGAAATCATTTAAAGAGGAGTCGTTCTTTTATACATACTTTTTCGATTCGTGCAGCGTTTTCGCAGCGCACAAAACGTAGGCCCTCAAAGATGAATGATATTTTCCGCGTTTTCCACATTTTCTACTGTTACTCCGCTCCATTAGGAGCAAACATTAGATCGCAACATGATTTAATATTAAAGCCTTCCTCGATCAATGCACTGACAAACACATGAGAACAAAGTTTTTTATTCAAATCAATAATTCCTGAGACAAGCAAACTCTTTAACTTGGTAATACATATATAAGTATATATCTATAGATAAAAACAATAAAACAATTTTGAGTATTAAAATGTTTTCCTTCTTTTAAAGACCCTGTTTGATTTGGGATCACTAACGTCGCTATTCTTAGTTAATTCCAAATTTATAACAGCACTAAACCTTGAACTTGAACAAATATTTTAGCTGATGGCTTCCTCACCTTGACAGGCCTTTGCCCTCTAGCCCAGATCTAATGAATGACAAGACAAGGTATATTATCATATCATAATGTTAAGTTTAGGGTGATACTGGCTTTATGTTGTCTCACTAGCTGAGTCAGCGACTTCGTACGCGTAGAATAGTTATTTTGGGTATCAATTTTTGTTTTTGCAAGTCTTTATGTTCAACTCTGTAATTTATGCTGTCATGCGCGACGTCGTCCGCGTCCCGTCGTTCTTGCAAGTTAATCTTACAAGATGGACATTTACTGTCTGTACTTTTTTTCATAATTTTAAGGGAAACCATTCTTTCCTACATATTTTTTGGGTATCTTAAACCGTTTTCTCAACGTACGCAATGGAAACCCACACAAGGATAAAAAATTCTTCCAGATTTTTTTGACATTTCCCGCCATATCTCGCTTCTATTAGTCATAACCTCCCTCAATAAACTATAAAAGTTCTAACCAACATAAAAATATTTTTTCAATTAGAACCAGTAGTTCCTGAGATTAGCGCGTTCAAAAATACAAACAAACATACTCTTCAGCTTTATATATTAGTGTAGATTAGCAATTTGGTCGAAGTTTATGGAAAGGAAAAATGTAAAACCTCTTCATTGTATATATTTATTTACTTACATTTTATTTTGCCTAGATACTATGATAAACCCCATGGCAGTTTAGATCTAGGTCGGAACTCGGAGGGACAATCAAACGCAATTACGCCTTCTTATCTGATAAAGTGATGAGACTATTGTTCAGTAAACTTCCAACAATTCTGCCGGTTACCTGTGAATTTCCATCCACTTCGTGTATTGTTAACCTACGGTAGTAAATGTGTACATAGATTGTTATCTCGGAAATGTAAAATGCATGACTACTTTGATGTTCTACCATAACTCGCTAGTTTTATTACAACCAGTATTAGTTCGCGCTATATGTGCTATTTTACTATCTTATATTGTAACCGGTGTATAACTGTATATTGTATTATTATTTCTAGATAAATGATAACGTTTTGTTTGAATACATCGGCGGCAGTCGTTTTCCTAGTTTAGTTATTTGATTGGTTTATTGTTGGTTATTTATTTAAGTGCTATTATTAACTGCTGTAATCTATGACACTATTAAAGTAATTGTACATGTATATATTATGTAGTGTCTATGTAAATAGGGGGCGCCGTCATGAAAATTAATATCCTCATGTTTTCCCTCCTTTATATTATTGACTTTATTTCAGTTCTCCAGATGAATCTCTTAATTGACTTAGATATAATATCTATATCTTATTTACAAGAATCTAGTACATAATAATGAATTCAGTAAACAAATAGCGTCAAATGTGGCGTTTGCGCAGCTACATTACAGAATTATAAGGTTATATGCGTAGTCAAAGTACTTGCCCTAGAATACCGGCTTTGCAATTAGTACGAAGGACAGAATGCACACAATGTCGCGTGGGCGTATTGAGCAATACATAGGAAATACGTAACGAATTGTTTGAATACCTTAAAACGATAAATATGGCGTCCCACCGTCATGTACTTTGATATTTTAGAAAACAAATGTGCACAAACATTTATAAATCACGTGTGGCTACAATATAGGAAAACATGTTTTACCTTTTTTCAAAACTACGGAGATTTGAAACTTTTTGTTATTTCGCATTGCATATTTAAGCATAGCATTAATCTTAGAAGCAGGCATGCCTAAGGGGGAGTCCCCTTAGGCCTTCCTCGCGGTCACATGTCTGTCAATACTTATGCTATGGGGCACTCTTGTTACAGATAGTGGCTATTCATGCCGAATCGAAACTCTTCGATAGCTACTACAACGGCTGCTGCAATGGAACATTCTGGCCCCTCTTCCACTCCATGCCAGACCGCGCCACGTTCATCGCGGACCATTGGCGGGCATATATCAAGATTAACGAGGAGTTTGCAGAAAAGACCGTGCACGCGTTGAAACTCTTGAAGCAGACGGACCAGAAGAATGGCTCCCCACCTATCGTCTGGGTGCACGACTACCATCTTATGTTGGCCGCCAACTGGATAAGACAGGTAAGAAGATTACAGCCAACATAACATACAGCCCTTTTTTTCTTATATATTGTTTTTTTGTGTTTATATTTGTGTCTGTATTTCTTTATAATGTCACTATTAATATTTTCATAACTTAAGCTTCAAAACACAAGACTTGTGTACTTAACGCCATCATAACTACAATATAATTATGTATATTAAAACCGGCAGTACATTATCATAAATAGAAACTATATTGATTTGATGAATAATACTTACAATTAGATTCGCTTCCTTATATTAATCTATTTATTGTAGTATCGTATTTTATTAGCGCGCTGAAGAGGACGAGATAAAATGTAAATTGGCATTCTTCCTCCATATTCCGTTCCCGCCGTGGGACATCTTCAGGCTCTTCCCTTGGTCTGATGAAGTGCTGCAGGGGATCCTTGGTAAGTTTATTAAGTTATTATCGCTTTAAGATTTATTACTATGTATAGAGGAACGAAATGAAAAATATTATATTTGTCTTTCCAGGTTGCGACATGGTCGGCTTTCACATAGCGGACTATTGTCTCAACTTCATTGATTGCTGCCAAAGAAATCTCGGCTGTCGTGTTGACCGCAAGAATTTATTGGTCGAATTGGGGGGTAGAACCATTTGTGTTCGCCCCCTACCCATTGGAGTGCCGTTCGATAGATTCGTCACATTAGCGCAGAACGCAAAAGCCGTCCTGTCGACGAGCCAAAAAGTCATCCTGGGCGTAGACAGACTGGACTACACGAAAGGCTTAGTCCACAGACTCAAAGCCTTCGAAAGGCTCTTAGAGCAACACCCGGAACATATTGAAAAGGTTATATTACTACAGATTTCGGTGCCATCAAGAACGGACGTAAAAGAGTACCAGGATTTGAAAGAAGAGATGGACCAATTAGTGGGCAGGATAAATGGCAGGTTCACAACGCCCAATTGGTCGCCAATAAGGTGAGGATAACTTTAGCGTCAGTCGGATCTTGTAAGTTCCTCGTTTTTATGTCTAACATTTCACCAAACTTAATGACTTGCAGGTATATCTACGGATGCGTCGGTCAAGATGAGCTGGCCGCATTTTACCGCGACGCAGCTGTTGCACTGGTCACCCCATTGCGGGACGGGATGAATCTGGTCGCGAAGGAGTTCGTCGCTTGTCAAATAAACACACCGCCCGGCGTCTTGATCGTCTCTCCGTTCGCCGGAGCGGGAGAGATGATGCACGAGGCTCTCATCTGTAATCCGTACGAATTAGATGACGCCGCTGAAGTAATACATCGGTTAGCTTTGACATTTATTTTTATACATTAATTCAATATTTATCAATGACTAGATGTGTCCGCGACGTCGATCGCGTAGAATAGGTAGCTATCCTTCTGTTGCACTCTAAAAATTTAAGCACTGTTACAACGACGTGTGCGTCCCTTTGTTCTTGCAAGTTGATTTTAAAAGATAACATATACTATTATTTTTTGGGTAGCTTGGACCGGTTTTTCAGCGTATGCAGCCGAAACCCACTAGGATGAATAGTATTTGTTTGTTTACACATTTGAATTTGAAATTTGAATAAATATCTCCGTTTGTTTACACATTTCCCGGTGTTCATCGATAAATGTTCGAACCGACAAAATATTATTTCTATTCGAACCAGTAGTTCTTAATATTAGCGCGTTCAAACAAACAAACAAACTCTTTAGCTTTATATATTAGTATATAGATGTGTGTCGACTAGAATGCTATATATTGCAAAAAAAATATGATCTTACAGAGCGTTGATAATGCCAGAAGATGAGCGCACGGTCCGTATGAACCACTTGCGCAGAAGAGAACAGCTGAACGACGTGGACAGCTGGATGAAGAACTTCCTCAAAGCGATGGACTCGTTAGAGGAGGAGGCTGATGATATAGGCGCCACTTCCATGCAGCCTGTTACTATTGATGACTTTGACGAATACTTGTCGAAGTGAGTTTATTATTTTATTATGTATAATCAAGTTTAGATGCTTATATTTAAGTGTCAACAACGTTAACACTTAGCTATTATTAAATTCGTTTAAGCCATGTCGGATAATAAGATCAACAAACATCATCATTAATCAAAAGTCATTTATTCAAGTTGGTAGCTATACTTATTAATAAAAAATCTCTAAATTTAAATTTACTACAAGTTCCTAAATGAAGATGTAACAGAACTCTTGAACGAACGAGAAGAACTGGCAAAAAATCGCTGCCACTCTTTTTATCGTCACACCATTTTACTTATTTCAGCGGGTTCCTCAAAACCTCATGCATTCTTATCATTTAATATATGATTTAAACTTATTTATTGACAGCGTCTGTAGCTCTAGAGGTTTTTTAAATCAATATCTGTAACTTGCAGGTACATTGGCTACACCCAGAAATTAGCTTTATTGTTGGACTACGATGGAACTCTGGCTCCTATTGCACCACATCCAGACTTGGCTACCTTGCCTCTGGAGACCAAGCATACGCTTCAGAGACTATCAAACATGTCCGATGTTTATATCGCCATTGTATCCGGCAGAAATGTCAATAACGTTAAAGAAATGGTGAGTAGGTACTTTATATAATATCTAGCTGTGATAGGGACTTCGTTTGCGTAGAATAGTCATTTTGGCCATCCAAATTTGTTTTTGCAAAGCTCTTAAAGTCATATAGTGTCGCGAAATTTCTTTCGATTGTTTAAAGAGGTAATAATTCTTTCTTAAATATTGTTTGGGTATCTTGAACCGTTTTCGCAGTGTACCTATGGATTGGAAACCCCCCTGGGATGAATAATTTTCCCCGTTTTTTTCCACATTTCTCCCCGCTCTTTATTCGCTCCTATTAGTCACATCGCTATGTGTGTCTATAGCCTTCATCTACAAATGCTCTAACCAACACAATTTTTTTTTAATTCGTACTAATAGTTCCTGGGATTAGCGTGTTCAAACATACAAATAAACAAACTCTTGGTCTTTATATATTAGTATAGGTAATAGTTAATGTCTATGTATCATTTATATATCGGAAGAATAACCCCTTGACACACAGCGTCATTCTTATCAAATAAATAATAATAATTAGTCACGTGGCTTTATCAGGCATTTTTAATTACTTCATATAACCTCTGGTCGTCCAACAAATGTCCCAGATTCTTGTGGCAATTATTATTAACTGCAACGTGGAATTATTACGGAATTCATAATAAACCTAATCTTGAGAGTAGATTAGTAAAACGAAACGGTTAGGCGACAATATCACGCAGGATATCGCTAGAAGAGTTCAATGCAGGATATTGGCAAGTTTAAACAAACAAAACCATTCGATAAACTATCTCTCAATGAACTCATATAATTTATCAATGTCAATATTTTTGTGACCCAATAGGTAGGGCGTATGACGCACAATGCTATCTAAGCAGTATCTTCTGAAATATTTTAAGTACATTGCAAGATCAGTGACTATTTTTTTTTCAGTCAAAACCCACTTGTTTATAATTTGTATTGTTATACTCAATGCTACATGCTAGTTTTCAATTCGGGTATTGTCTTGGTAAATTTTTAAAAACATAAAATAGCTTTCGCGGCCATTTTGTAAAACTCTTGAGTTTTCTAGATGTTCGGTCGTCATGTTTGAGAAATTGTGGTATTTTGTATTTTTCACTTAATAGAAAAACGCTCATATATGGTGATGTTATCAATTTTTGATCATGAACCAAATAACCAAAGCTTCTTATCTTTACAGAATTTTGTCTTTCACTATATATATCGAATACTACTAGTACCTGAATACGGATCTCATGAGACCATTTGATCTAATGAGAAAACATCACGTTTGACCTGTCTTATCGTGTTACATAAAATTTCCTTTGTTTTTCTTCATTCATTAATTCGCTATCAAATAGATCGGTTTCAAAGTGGCCTTTGCAATAACATCACTATCAGAAGAACTTTGATCTTAAAACATTTATACTGACAGGACAGTACTAGTGAAAAGAGGTCGCGCTATCATATTGCGTAATACAAGAATTAAAAATATTGTATTTTTCCTTAACCCCTCGTCTCCGTTTGCTTAAACCTTTTTAATAATAAAAATCTTTCAGGTGGGCATCGAAGGCATAACATATGCTGGTAATCATGGTCTGGAGATATTGCACCCTGATGGCAGTAAGTTTGTCCACCCCATGCCGATGGAACTGCAAGATAAAGTCGTCGATCTACTAAAAGCCTTGCAGGAACAGGTATTTTGATCTTAAAATAATTTAGATAAGGATAAAAACATTAATTACAACGACGCAGTCAAAAACTTAAAAAAAAATTAAACTTTAAAAAAGATTTTAAGCATTTTGTTATTATGTTTTATTTAGGTGTGTAGAGATGGCGCATGGGTAGAAAACAAGGGAGCTTTGTTGACCTTCCATTTCCGAGAGACACCAGTGGCTAAGAGAGCTGCGCTAGCGGACACTGCGCGAAGGTTGATCACGGAAGCTGGATTCACACCTGCGCCAGCGCATTGTGCTATTGAAGCTAGACCACCTGTGCAGTGGAATAAAGGTTAATCTACACTTTATTATATTATTTTTGTTGAACTTGCTAATCGTAGGATACATGGGTATATGAAAAAATTATTTCATTCAGGGTTTGATTAGGCGCATTTTCCATTATGCTTGTTTAATATTATAAACTTTTAGCAAACGGCACCTTACTGTTGCCATGTCAACCGTTGATGCGCCTGCGCCGAAGAATATAGTGTACTATTGTATGTCTATTGTCTTAGTTGATATCTCTCCCTCAAGCAGGCCGGTCGCTCTCCGTTAGCTTTCCCGTGTTTTTACTTTCATTTTGTATTTTACTCTATTAATAATATTTACTTACTTACTTACCCGCTGGGCAGCGACCCAAAGTGGGTCTTGGCCTTCACAACAAGAGAACGCCACTTCCGCCGATCCTGCGTCACGGTTCGCCACTCGGAGACACCGAGTTTCACCAGGTCAAGCTCAACGGCGTCTTTCCAGCGGTATTTGGGCCGGCCAACGGGTCGGCGGCCTTGGGATTCCGAGATAGCCTTTTGACGCTTCGCTCTTCCATTCTTTCGACGTGGCCGGTAGGGAGTCTTTGAGCTCGAGCTTTCCCATGATTTAGGGGCGGCAAAAGCTTTTCGATCTCCTCTTCTTTCGCGGCAGTACCGTTTCCTCTGTTGGTCCAGAATCTTCCGCAGTATTTTGCGTTCTGTCACTAAAAGCTTTTCCTCATCTTTGAGTTTAGCGTCCACGTTTGAGCGTATAGAAGGATGGTCTAATGACTGTTTTATAAATCTTTATCTTTGAGTCCTGGTCAAATTTAAATAACACCTTGTGGAGAGCCGCACTACAACGGAGGGCGTTTTGAATTGGATGTCTATTTCCTCAGCCCGTGTATTGTTGTATAGTGATCCGAGGTACTTAAATTTAGGGGCCTTTAAACTTCATATCTCAATTGAAGATATGGTTCTGTCTTGTATTTTTATAGGTTATGTGGAGATATTAGTTTTCTGAGTTGATTTGAGACCTATTCTTGAGTTGGGGGAGAGTTTGGAGAAGCTCCACCTCTCGTTTCGTTTGCCCTAGGAGGGCCAAGTCATCCGCATATCCAATTACCTTATGTGTCCTTCATCCGAACCTATGTCGAGTGCCATTACTTTGCGAATGACATTTCTAGTAAGATTAAACAGCATTGGATTAGGATCTCTTGTTAAGCCCGGTTACAGTGAACTTTCTGTTAGATCCCCCTCTATCCTGACGGATCTATGGTTTTTGTAGAACTTTAGTAAGTAATGAGTTTTTCGGGGATTTAAAATCGACTAGTATGGAATAAAGGATTCTCTATCAATGCTGTGTAGGTTTGCAAAAATCGACAAAAAGTAGTGTAACCTGACGTATCCCATTTTTTCTCCATATTCTTAAAGAAAAATTTGGTAACTGTGTGCATTTCCTCTAAACCACATATAATACCTATATTGTTCCGAAAGGTGGATAGGAGTATTAAGATAACACTTTATAGTGTAAAAGGTATGTTGATTAAGTATACATTAATTGATACTGTCCTTCTTTTGTTTAACTCAAAACTACTACAAATATATTTCAGGTCGTGCTTCAATTTACATCCTAAGAACAGCTTTTGGACTGGACTGGAGTGAACGAATCAGAATTATTTATGCCGGTGATGACGTTACCGATGAAGATGCTATGTTGGTAAGGTTCTTTAAATATAAATGGTTATTGATATATCGTCAAATGTTTATTGTATAAACTCAAATTAGTTTTAATAGAAACCAATATTCATTGTAATATTAAGTAATAATTTGTAAATTACAGGCCCTGAAAGGTATGGCAGCCACGTTCCGTATAGCGTCTTCGAACATCACAAAAACCTCGGCGGAGCGCCGTTTGTCTTCCACGGATTCCGTGCTCGCTATGCTGAAGTGGGTCGAGCGACACTTTTCCCGGCGCAAGCCCAGAGCCAACTCGCTGACGTACAAAAGTGCAAGGATGGCCAGGGACACGCTCCAGATGCACGTCTCTTATCAACTCCCCACTCGATCTCCCAAAAACACCCCCCCTCGCACGCCAGATAAATTTTCTGATAAATCTAATTCGAGCGGATCCGAGTCTAGTTAAATGAACATTGCGCCCTTTAACGGTATTTTTGTTGCCCATCATGGTTATTTCTGCATGAAATAAGTCGTCTGGTACAAGACAAGAGAATTAAGTTATTTTTTTTCTAAATTATTTATGAACAAGTTAGTGGTTTAGGAATGCACTATACTGCATAATCAGATATCTAAAGGTCTTTCTACAAACTAAAAGTTTCTTTGATATGCTGCATATCATATGCACATTACGTTACTTATATTTTAGGCTAATTTATATCATAATTTTAGTTCAAAGTTAGTAACAATATAATTTATGATAAAAATCGTAGTTATAGTAATCAATTGAATATTAATCTTTGAAGTATTTAAAAACTATTTGGATCCTATTTACACTTTTGATACCTTTAACAGATTTGGACAACTTTACAAAAGAGGTCGTGATTACTGTCTTTTACAAATGTTCCTAAACACTTCGACTATTGTTCTTCTGAACAGATGTACTGTGCCGGTTTAAATAGTTTTATATTATGTACTTATACAATGATATTTATAAGTAGCTTTGTATCTAGGCACAAACAAAGATTATTTTAAGCAATCCAATACTCTTATATGTGGCTGTTTATTTTTGTAGTGTGTACAATCAACGAGTGAATATTTGCTAGTCTGGGCGTAGTTGGAGAAATAGAGCGCGTGTAAACCTTCCGTAATTTATGTATTTTTAGATACAATTTATGTTTTGTATGTTAGAAAATAAAAATTCCGAAACTGACATAAAAATACGTTTTATTAATAAAATATGTACAAAATGTTGATTCTAGAAAAAGTAATGGGCAAGAAAGTCGAAGTATAAATAAGTAGTAAAACGTAATTACAGAAAATATACTGAAGTTTCTTATATTATAATTGGAATGTGCTGTATTATTTTAATGCAACTAAATAACATAGATTAATATAATATACATGGGATATTGTGAAACAGGCAAAGAGACAAACTCAGCTGGTCTGTTTAATATTTAAAATCACAAAATTGTTATTAAATGTTTACATCTAAGTTTGACTTGGTAATTGCCTATTACTTACTGTCTATAATTGCCTACATTTATAGTGTGCTTTAAAAGGGGTAGGTACCCCCCAACAATACCTGGAAATAAATCATTATGGACAGTTACCTCTTGACATATAGACATGAGGCAATACCCTAGTAATACTCATTAAAACTTCACACTGTAAATGTGTCATAAATTCATATATTATTAGCAGTAACTTAAGTCACAAGAAATCAATTCTATACACATATATGTAGAAGTCTTTATCACAATAAAAATATGTTGTGCATCTAAGCCGTATGCGAGAGGACTAGCCATGACAGTATAAAGTAGAACAAGCATATAGGGTATACTGCTAGGCCTTTTTTACCTTCCGGCTGACTGTCGCCAAGGAACTTTGTAGCCGCTAAAACAAAGGTGAACATTAACTCTTAGTTTTACGAAACTTAAATAGTGTGGAAATCATTATAAATTATGTGTATTTGATGTTTGTGTCCAAGAATATACTTTTAAAGAATTCATTTACATCCCATCCTCTATGTATGTATATTTTTAAACTTGAGTCATGCCTAAGGGACACTTAATCGTGTCAGTCTCTGATTTAAACCCACAGCCTTTTGCAACTTAGTTATGAATGCAGCTAAATTATTTGACATAAGATAAACATCACTTACCAAATGTGGCCCACATAAATCCGACCATAGATATAACAAAGCGTAGGAAAAACAAAAATGTGTTCTGTGTGCTGAATAATATTATTCTGCAGATGACTAGAGCAAGGGCAACAGGCAGCAGACAGTATCCGAGCACACAAACCGATTGGAAAAACGACCTGAAATTACATTGTTATGTTTAAAACATGTAATAGAACTAACAATTAAAAATAATTTAATTTTAAAGTTAGATATATTGGTATGCAATATTGATTTGTATTATGTTTATCAACTGTATAAATTTAGTTTGGTACAGAAAGTAAACTGTACCTTGTATGTGTGTGAAGGTTAAAGGCCCTCGAATTGAAAATTCTTTCTTTGTTTAACTAACCAACCAAATAAACATTGCATGTTTAAACTTACATATTTCCACCAAGTAGTTTAGAATTTAAAGTGACCACCGCAGCCCCTATCCAGACTAAAACAAAGACTTCTGCAAACTCTGGACCACCATCTCCAGTATTACTTGTTGGTTCTGATGAACCTTGTAGAATTGTGGCCATGAAGGTACATAGTAATAACGGACCCCATAAGTCCCCTGAAACAAGTGTATATATGTTTAAAGAATTACAATGTAAAGATGTACTTACTGGACCTTAACTATTTAGAAAAAAATTCAGGGGTCTCTCATAGAGTAGTGAAGGCACATCTCCACAATCTAGCTATAAATGTGGAGGTAAGGATACTTCTCTAATATCCCTGTCTGGTGTCATATGTGTTAAATGACAATGTCTGGCAGGACCTTCATAGTTGCATTCATGCACACAGGGAAACAAAGAAATGTTTTAGTTCAGTAAAGACCTTTTAAGCTAAACACAAAGCTTATAAAGCAAAAATTGCTAGAAAGATACATAAGCCTCTAAAATTTTTAATACTCTCATGTGATTTACTACTTACATTCTTTTAGTAGACTGGTTTTTTCTCTTGGTATAAGGACATGATAGAATTTGTTACCCACTGCTTTTAAATCTCTCGACTGAAAATAAAATTATACTTATGATATAAAATGACATTAAATAGAGCTGTCTTAAAAGTATAAACATTGACATAAACACAAAATGGTGCCACATTAAAAGGGGCCAAAGAGTAATTAAACCCAATATATTGAAATTATAACATGATTATATTCAACACCAGAATTTATTTTTTTCTTCACCAACTTACAAAAGTTTCTTTAATTGGTTCATCTAGTGTATTAAACTCCATGTTATCTCCTGAAGGTACGCCGCGACCTGGTATATTCATTTCTCCTTCTATAACCCCTACATCACCAGCTGGATACATCTAAACCATCAAACCATAAACTGTTTTAACAAAAACTTTTGATGCCCTATTTTTTACAATCGGTATCCCATTTGTTTTTATCCATTATTGAATAGTTAGGATCCTAAGATTTTAGAAAAATTTGGTAAATACTAATACGTTTAATTCGTTTAATAATAGGTTTAAAGTCATAATATATGCTGATAATAATTGTTTTTCTTGTGTGTGTTAGAAATGGACGGTGTTAGAGTTTTACAGCTCCCAGTAATATAAATCCATACAAAGGTCCTGCAAAGGGCTTGTTATAAATGACTTTATATTGATAAACTTACATCGTACTTAGAGTCGAATGTCGTCATTTTGTTAAGGATACTGTACTGTTACTCCCAAAAAGTAATATATAAAATAATTTTTCCGAACGATACTTCTTTACGCAACGATATTACACTATCATTAATAATCGTGTATTTCTTGAATAGCGGCAATAATCATATATTTTTCATATTCATGATTCTCCAACTAGGTAAGAAAATTTATCTTATGTCCGGTGTGATTTGTCTACAAGTCTACTATTATCAAATATCAATTGTCATGTTACAGTGTCATCATAGTATGTAACTGTCAAATCGTCGTAGATGTCGTATCATACCCACAGGTTATATAATACTAATATAATATATAGTCTGCTTTTTTAAATTGTATAACTTTTTGATATCAATCAATCAACAATATCTTAGTTATTGTAAATAATTATTTTTCGTAAAGGTTGATTTGGAAACGCAAAAGAAAATATTGTTCTTCGTAGTTTGTACTTACTCTACAGCCACAGTGACATTTTACACTACAGTCTTTAATTCTATGCAGGTCTGTGCTGCAATGTTCGATATGTTTTAGTAATAATCTGTGCGAAGAATGTGTGTTTTTTCTCGGTATATAACTGTGTCTAACCATTGTTTTTGTGATTTTTAAAATGATTTTCAAAAACCATGAAAGTAACGATTAAAAGTAAGTTATCATTTAATTTGCCCGTATTTCTTATTTATATTAGTGGAAATAAAACTGTAACGTTTAATATTTATAGCTACGAAATACTCGAACTGTTTTTATGATGTATTTGTGGAGTCAGAAAGCTGAATTATTGTTTATTCTAGGTTGGACTGGTGTGGCTACTTGGCGCTGGATAGCGAACGACGATAACTGTGGTATATGCCGTATGCCATTTGATAGTTGCTGTCCAGACTGTAAGCTGCCTGGTGACGATTGTCCTCTAGTGTGGGGCGCCTGTTCTCATTGTTTCCACATACATTGCATTGTCAAGTGGTTGCATTCTCAGCCGCAGCAACAGTGCCCTATGTGCCGTCAAGACTGGAAGTTTAACAATAAGTAGAATAATAAATAGGTGAGTAACTAGGGTAGTTAAAAAATCTAAGCTCATAATATTTTCCCAAAATATAATCAGTTAAGCTATCTTATTAGATAGCTTAACTAAGAAACCTTACAGCAAGTATTATCTACTTCTTGTTTAGGAACATACAAACTCTGTCCCATTAAATTAGAATCAAAATAGTAAATGCAATGTCAACATATATTTAAGCCAATTTAGGTAATTGTATTATAGATAAAGGTGTAACATTTACTGAGTCTTGTAGGTTTTACTAGTTGCCGTTCATTATTTCAATTCACAAGCAATATTACTTGTAAATCAAATTAAAAATCTCTTATTTATGAGAAATACTTGTTGCATGGGGAGATTGCCTAGGTTTTATCATTATTATGTATTGAGTTGAAAATAAGGAAGTTTAGATTTTACGGTTGAAAGAAAAAAATGCTGCTATTATTAAAAAGCACAAGAAGCAATTATACGCGTGATAACTGCCACTAGAGGCTGTAAGTCTGTAATATTTTGAGTTAGAAATCAATAGGCCACTCAACTCTTTTAAAAGTAGTTACCTACTCCGCGCAATATGTATGTATATAGCTCCGCTTGCTATCGTTGCGTTTCAAGTGTCTTTTTTACTGTAAATTATATATAGCGTTTAATATCGTCTTAAGTAATCAATAGACTTTAATTCTGTTTAACGTCGTATCACTAAACGAACACAGGCGACCCCGTAAGTGACTGTATACGCGACTGGCTATCGGTGTCGGTGACTAGTCGTTTCGAGCGCAGTCGGTGTTGAGCTCGCAAGTGGATGGACGTGCTTCCGCAGCTACGAATTCGCGCGTGTCGTGACTAACGTGATGCAAGTGTAATCGCGCTCATTATACTATAGTGTGCCTATTATAGTATTGTGTGAGTGTCGTCTCGCTCAAGCATGCTGATGGTACAGAGCAACGCGCAACCCATGAAGACAAATAAAATTAAGGGTCCGCCACCTGTACCGCCGCGGCCCAGCCAGAGTATGGTCGCCGAAGCGCTAGCGAAGACGAGAAAAGCCGTCGCCGATTCCAAGACCAACTTGACCAAGACTCGTAACTTTACCAAAAACGAGAGTCACCAGGTTTCATCGAAAGCGAAAACTCTAGATAGATATAGCTCGTCGAGTAAGCCTGCGGTGTCTCCGCGCCAAACTGGTCTCGCACGCGTCAAGTCTTTTATCAAAGACGTGATAAGCGATCGAAGCTCCTCTTCTGACGAAAAGAAGTCCAGCGGGCAGAATTCCAGAAGGAGCTCGAGCGATAGTAGCTCTGTTAATTCGCCATCTTCTACTAAGAAGTCGAACGAATCGTTAAACTCTAGAGCTGTTAAAACTTGCAAACAAATTTTAGTTCGATCGCTCTCTACGTCCAACAAATTAGATCAGGATGCGAAGTGTAGAGTATCTAAATCTTCTAGTTTCGCGGAAAAGACTTTTCCCTTGCGCAAGGCTCCGCCGCCACCTTTGTCACCTAAACCTAAGATTAAACCAATGAGGCCGTTACCTGTACACAATTCGAATGTAAGTGGAAAAACGTCTAAAGTGGAACCGGAAATAAGTCCATACTCGTTGCCTCTCGATGCCGAAACCGCTCGGAGTCCGGTTTCTGAGGCGCCTTACGCTACGGTCGACGAAGTGAGCCAAAATGTAAATATTGTAGAAAGCAAACCTAAAATGGATAACGAAAACGTTACAATAGAGAATAATTTAAAGGGAGATGTAAATATAAATAATAATTCACTCGAGAGGAAAACGTCGCGAGTCACAGAGATGCTAATTTCCGAAATCCTCGCCAGTAGAAATAACAATAACGAGAAAGAATCGCATACGGTAATCGACAAAGGCAAGGATTCGGTCTGCGGCGATACATCGGCCGATCTAGATATAATGAAAGACATGAACAATCACGAAATGTTAATTTATGAACTACAAACGATGCGCTCCCAATCGAACGTGCCCGAAGTGTTAGACAATAATGACATTGACAGAAATGGAAATTGTGATTCGGATTCTGAACAAAATTACGCGGTGGCGTCCGTCACGAGTGAAAATACGGACGACGGACACGATCAAGCGTACGCCTATATTGTAGACGATGATCTCAAGTCTAGGTGAGCCGTTTGAAATTCCCGAACCAAACACTAAAGTACTATATCTAAAGCTTATATAAGAATTATCAAATCATTAAGGTGTTACAACAAATTAAATTATAAACGGAATATGTAGAGCGTTAAATGTTTCCAAATTGAAGTATACAATGCTTTAAGTAGACATAGCGATACTGCTACAGTACTGTACAGTTTTTCAATAACACCAGTTTATAGAGTACATACTTTGTTTCTCACACTACTAGTTTACATCGCAAACGCACTTATTTGTAAGGTTCTGCTGTCATAATCGTTTCAAACGATTCGCTTCCTATTTACAAAGTATTTGGAGACAATTCCGACGTTGCAGGGATTAAGCTATGCCACATTTAACATAAGTAATAACTCACATGCGGATGCATGCGTGAACCAAACGAATGGGCTCCTAGAGCTAGAACCGCATTTCTACGGAATCATGCCTTATGTAAATCGTAGCGGATGTTTGTTTCATTGTAGTTCCTATCCGCCTCGCAAAAACTGCGCGAACTATTCCTTTTTTACTTTTCAACGCGTAAAACTCAATGGCAGCATTTCATGAACAATAAATAACCCACTCGTGTTTAGTCTTTTCTTGAATAGGTTTAAGAAGAGCGTGACTACCTAATCAATAATTAGTAAGTAATTAATTAACTTTATGAGTAGCGATACAGGGGACCACTTTACGAAGTAAATGCTGTCTGTACATCCCCTACTTCTAAATACAGTTTTAGTCTACTAACAAATAAGTGCAGTAAAAAAATAAATAGTTACATGTTAGTAATACAATTCAAATTGTTTATGAATTCTTCTACGCTGTTAGTCAGTGTAAAACGTAGCTTCAAAACAAAGTAGAAATAAATTGGTGCCTTGCATTTGCTCTTTTCTACGAAACCTCTAGGCCAGAAGCTGTAGACGAATGATAAGATAGTGTAGATCTATGCATGACCAGCCCAAAACCCAAAGGGTCACAGAGTCACTGAAATTAACACTTACTAACGGTGCTCTTAAAGCTGAGACACAGTTTCTTAAAGTAAAGACTAGATGGAAAAAAAAAATTTAATCAGTCTTTTATTGATTAGTAGGTATTCTGAACGTCATAGATGTTATAATCTCATTAGATTGTCTTAGTTTTACTCTGTCTCAAGGAGATACATCGTCTATTAAAATCTTGCACAATGCACTTAACAGCTTAGAGCGCCTATGTGATTCGATAATTTTATACTGCCCCTGCATAACTACACTTTACATAACATTATTATGCAGCACTTTTTGCTAGCTAATTGATTTAATAATAAAATTGTCGGTAGAAGGAATTCCAAGAAGGCGAATTTAATAAGTTAGACATCGCCTACTCTTATCTATCATCTAGAAATATTTCAATTGCAGACTACGAAAACAGTTCCGAGCAATCAGCACCATGTCACTTCAAGGTCTACCGCCTCTACCAAAAAGCTTAAGCGGCTTCGCCGACGGTGAGCCTGCCGCAGAACCACCGCCATCGAATGATGATCATCCGCCGTCTGATCTCGACGGCCAGCTCATATACCTTAAGAAGGAAATGGTAAGTTTTTCAGATCCTTTACACAAACGTTTAACTTATTTAAATAACTTTGAAGCTTTAACTAATGAAAATTCCTTATCCCAATTTATATTGGTAGTCCATTACGGTGTGTTTTGTGAAGCATTTCTTACTACGCACAACCAGATAAATGCGATTATGAAAAAGCTTGTAATCTGCATCGAGGAATGCGGAAGATTTCTTATTTAGAAAAACCCATATAATCTAAACTGCCCACGCGCTTAAAAAGCAGATGCTATCCTTACTTTGGTCGTAATCGTGCCATGAAGTAATAGCGGCCGCGCTGTCTGCTCGTTTTAGGGAAGCCATTAACTGATTTATAGCTCAATTCGCTGACTCTGTTTTTCATACTTTTCAGTTAAAATAGCCTTTATAGAACAGAGTTCCGGCAATCGGTGTGTCTAATCTGTAAACTTGCTATAAATCTAATGTAATTCTATTAAATGCCTCAAGTTAGCGTTGGCGCGGGCGTTTTAGTTCAACGGAACAGGTTTTGTACATATTTGTAGCCTTGAAGACCTTGTAATAAATTCGCATCCTACTCTCTGCGTTCTAGCCATTAACAGGTGGTTAAGCGTAAACAAAGACCTAAATCCTTTCCAAGATCTGATTGGACCGTATAATACCTACTCCATAACATTTAGAATTTCGCCTATACTGACCATTCTCGATGTTACAAAACTAGTCATGATTTCCGAATCCGAAATAGTAAGACCGCTTTCTATGTCAGTTGTTAGTTCTATGGTGTACATGCTTCCCACGCAATTGTCTAACGGTAAACATATTATTACGTGAAAGGAACAAGTGTTTAGTGACTTTGTCGTAATATATTTGAATATTCCTGTTCTCTTAAAGCTTGCGTTTGGTCAAAACATAGATGGATCGTATAAGAAGAATGTCTTGTTTTTTGAGAAATATAACATTTAAACTTTCCCCCGAATGGTTAACTCCTAGCTCTAGTCACTAAAGAACTACACAATGTAACTATCCCAGATGATACGTTCAATTTTGTCGGACGGAACTTAGGAGTAGTCGTGTGTTATAATTGTGACATGCGCAAATCTCATTTTAAATATGTGTTTTTTATACGTAATTGTTTCCGTTGATTCCTATTGTTAAGACAAGCGTATTTATAATCTCGTTACGGCTTTACGCTTCTTGGTAAGTACACGGAGAATACATGACTATATAAATTTAAAATATATTTAGTCAAAAAACATCGATGACAGGAGTTTTTTAATTCGCGATGCCATCATCTTTAACTACAGCGAAAAGTAATAATTGACAAATTATTGTTATATAGTACAGTATTGGTCCACGGCCTAGCCATATAACAGCTAAACAAGATATGGTGTCGGCCTATGTTGGCTGTATACCTACTAACTTCGATTTAAGTCGATTTTTAGGAACATGACTCTTTCACGAACGAAACTTTACTTAAACTTTGTGTAAAGAAATACGCTTTGTCTTCTATTGTCTTGTGCATAGCTGTTCCTAAATACAGATCGGGTCGAGTAGGTATCCAAAGCTGTCCCCGGCGCGGAATGCACCGGGCCCAGACTAAATGTGGGGCGGTTATATCTATTGACCCGCATTGTCTTAGCTCTTAATGTCGTCCGGACACATCCGCGTTGGCACCCACATGCCGAATCTCGTTATATAACGTTCTAAATTGTATCACTTTACTCCTAACCTCATTTGCAAGCTCTTTTACCAAGTACCGAATAAAACACTTTTAACGGTTCAAACACGAAATTTACGAGTTAAACTTATTTACAAATTATTTTCACTACGATTGTTTACTTTGACAGTAGAGACACCCTCCGTCCTCAGTCCCGCCGTGCTCGCAGATGCTGCAAAGTGTTAAATAATACATTTCGCGTTTTAAACTGTAAAAGTGTTTTATTTAAAAGCTCTTTTACTTGCATACAGTTCAAACCCTCTAGAGTCTAGATTATTATTGGAATTTGAAACAAGTCGTATCTCAAAGTTAAATCATATTTTTTCTACTTAAGGGCACGCGTTATTACCTCGATCCTTATGACGAAAATATTTGGTTTAACGCCATATTCATACGCATGGTTAAGATCCTGGAAGAACTTACCCTTAACAAAATAGACGCGCGTGCTATATATTTTTAGACGCAACGACACCCAGGGCCGGTTACGTCACTCTATAACTGGATCACAGCAACGAGATCAAATGATGGAGAAAGCTTCGCTCCTTCACGGTCATTCCAAAATGAAGTATGAAATTAGATTTTCAGTTTGAAGATGGAACATCTGTTGAGATGAGGACCGTTTTAATTTTAGTTATGTTTAAAACAACGCGTTGTCTGCGATCTTACACGTAAATTGGAAAGGATAGGGAATACTGACTCTAGAGATATCTTTTAACTCCGAAACAAGTCAATTAATAGTTAGTTCTATACAAATACTAAAAAGCTGGAGAGTTTTTTTGTTTGAACGTGCTAATCTTAGGAACTACCGGTCAGAATTGTTTTTATTGGTTCGACCATTTATCGAGAATAGCCATAGCCTATCACAGCGGCGGGCAAACTTTTTTTTAAGCGGGCCGGTAAATTAAAAAAATACTTGCCGCGGACCAGTAAATCAACAAAAAAATATAGCTGCAGACCGATCAATTAATATCATTGAGGGCAAGGCTACAAATCTAAAAGTTTTAAAACATTGTTTTTTTAAACTAAAATATATTGTTTTATTTCTATACTTTTTCATATAAAAAAAATGTAACGTTAGCAGTATTGTTAAAAAAAGTAGGAAATTCTTCAACGGATTTCGTTGCAAAATGTCGAGAAATATATATTAAAGTATTCTTCTTTGGACAATCCAAAAAAAAAATACCGCGACAGTACACATCTAACTTTTTAATATAAAGATTATTTTTATTTGTTGACTCTATGACTAGCTATATTTTATCCTTTCTATCTCCACATGCATATAAAACTGCTTTTTCTAAGAAGCTGCAGTGTTTCAAACCTTGAGTCCGCAATGACGTAGGTTTTCACGTGTGTAGTTTCCTGCAGTTGTCTTTCGCAAATTACACGAGACGCGTTCAGTTATCAGCAGTGCGCTATCACGATCATTAAGTTCTGCCTCACCATGTTTTAACATGTTACGAAAGTGTGAGAAACATTATGACTGTTCGTTAACTTTTAAATCATTCAGGAAAACAATTGACATACCTATTTTCATTAAATAATTATTACGAAGTAAATGCAATGGAATTTATATCTTTAGCTTCTAGTAAACAAACATGTCAGGGCTGTTCAAATTTCTATTTGATATTTTTATATACTTTTTAAGTAAAAGCATTTGTATTATTTATATATCTGGTTTTTTTTCGGTATGAAAAGTATTAATAAAGGTGTGTACAAGTTATATAATAATTAAAGCAATGAATTATAGCGTAAATCAAAAATACAGTGTAAACTCTATATAGCGACACTGAAGGGACTGTGCATTTTATGGCGTTATAGAGAGTTGTCGTTAAATGGAGAGAAGAAACATTGTATGAAAAACAAGCTAACCCAACCAAAGCCAATTGATTTCGACGCTTAAGAGAGTTTGTCGTTAAATAGAGTGACGTTACATGGAGTTTACACTGTATATGAAATAAGTTTTCACTGATCACTCGCTAGAAACGGAAAGTTTAAAACATATAGTCAACAATTATAGTTTGTTATTTCCGTCAGTAAGAAGTTCGTGCCCTTACGATTTCTTAAAATCGCTCTTAGTATAGCAAGTGTGTTATGAAACTACTTAAAAAGATAACTTTTTCGATTTGTCGAATGTAAAAATAGCAGTCGTGCAATCGAGATCAACAACCCACGAGGTATGTGACTTGTGACATAATTGCGCCGGCTACCGCTCATTGGGGTTCGGTTATTTTAATGGCTAATTATCGTAAATATCACCTTCGTAGTTTATTGGCCCCCTCCACAAGACTGTGGAGGGAGCCAATAAACGTATAAACGTCCGGACACAGTGAAACAGAAATTAAATAATATATTTCGTGTTTGAAACCGTTCGAAGTGCATGCGTATTGTAGGCAACTCAAGATAATCTTTAATCTATCTATTTGAAAATTATTACACGTCGTTAATTTATTTCACCAATTTAGTCCATGGAGGACAGCATTTACTGCTAACGTCGGCCGTTTACTATTTTTGGATCGATTGCTAGCGCTAAAATCTGAGCCCGATAGGGCAGTGACACATAAGTGAAGCCAGGCGGATCAGCGGTCTGCAATAATTTTATTTCTAGTGCATAATTGGATTCGCCCCCGAGTCCACGACCCAATTCTGTACCTTCTAATGACTCTATCACAGAAACCTTTGAAATGCAATGTGCAACTCCGCACAACAGCCCGCATCTTCGTTACTTGTATATTTTTTCGAATGTCCGAAGCCTTAACTAGAACTTACAGAGCTACTCGAAACTTGTCTACCTACAGACATAAAGAAAATACAACTCTTATATAAATAGGGTTTTTTATCACACATATGTATTACTATATTATTATACCATTACACCGCAAAACAGTTTGCGAAGCAGCTATATATATAAATACACGATATTGAATTGCACTATTTTACTTCAGTCACGGAATTACAAAGGTGACCGAGATTCAAAACTATTTAAATTATTTATGAGTTAATCGTGACAACCGGCATTGTTCGTATCGCTCAAAGTAGATAAAGATTTTCCGTTAGGACCTTCGTATCAATTTCCCACGTCAAGTAGACATAAAATTAACTCTCGGTATTAGGCGCATACGCAATATTAATCTTCGTGTAGTTGGTTCATTTATCATTGCTGTCCAGTACCGATATTGCGTCATCACTTTTCGCATCATTACTATCGTTAGCTAACTCCGACTGCATTGGTTCGGAGTCTGAATCACACTCGTTGCATGGCAAGTGGCTCGCAGGGTTCCGTACCAGAAGGATAAAACCGGGG